AATGTCCTGGTCCACAAAACAAGTTTTCACAATATTTAATTCAAGTCGCCTAAACCACTTCCTCGCCAAGAGTTCCCCAGGGTGGAGACCGTCCTCCAATAATTCTATGAAATATCGCTCTTTTCCCTTTTTTCGACAATCACGAAGATCAGCATTGAATTTAAGTGTTGTGGTACCAAGTTCTGTGTTGAGAAGTTCAATTTGAGAGTTCAAGAAGTGTACCTGGCTGGCAACTTCAGCATCTGTTTCTAGAAACTTGCTCGGATTATGGTGACCTTGGATATCATTGTAAAGGCTAACCGAATAAACAGGTACTCCAATAAATTGAATTTTGCACCCCTGTTTTATTGTGTAGTCCCTCGCTCTTTTGTAGCAGTTGATAATTTTGTGTATAGTGTTAACACAGGTACCAGAAATGTTTATATAACAGCCTTGCTTTGAGGTTATGTCGCATGTACCAGCCCAGAAATAAACATAAACAGGTTTACCAAATTTCTGCTTGAGGATGGGAATTTGTTCTTTTAGTAGGGATACTAGGGTTGATGAGTTTGCACCACCTTTACATGAGAACTGTATCGGAAGTTTTGGATTACTGCCCCTGTGTACCACTGCAAGGCGCTTTCCTTTGCTGTCGGATACTAGCAGGGGGGTCAAATCAGCCTCGTGAGGTGGTATTGTCACGTTGTGTGATTTAAGGTAGTCTACGAGATCCTTCTCCGACCTCTGAAAGATAATGTTTGACCGTTCGCAGTGAACGATTCGTTTGGAAGCAATTCCAGTGTTCGCAGTGAACACCAATACGAAAATACATGTAAAACGAAAGTACAAGAACAAAGGCTAAATATAGGCACACAAAACAGTAAATTACCCAAACCAAGTAAATTAGTTATTGTGCTCTTACTTTGTGAAAGTAATAAATGAGTTATAGTAATCAAATTACAAAATAATCATTTAAATGACGAGTAACAACCCACAAACACAAAATGCAGCGCGATTACCTGTAGCAGACCTCTGTCCACTTTGAGGTACGAATTGCAATACATTACACAAAAAGAAACGGGTTTTGGACTCCCTGCAGGGCGTATAAGCAAAATCCCACTTCTGACACCACTTGTTATGCCGGATGGCTGGCTGTGTTCTTCAATAACAACACAAAGATCGTCCGAGTTTTCAGTGCAACCTTTTAATGGCGGTAAAACTCAACGAACACCGGATAACGTGCTTCCGCGTCTAACATCAAATCCGGGGACCGGACCCCGATTTCCGGAAGAGGTAAATCCGCATTACAATACTCATTTTTATGTCTTCCATATGTCATCCCTGGATGGCTTAATTGGTATAATGTACGCTTGGTAATGTATAGGTCCCTAGATTGACCCGGTATAATGTACGCTTTGTAATGTATAGGTCCCTAGATTGACCCGATATAATGTACGCTTGGTAATGTATAGGTCTCTAGATTGACCCGGTATAATGTACGCTTTGTAATGTATAGGTCCCTAGATTGACCCGGTATAATGTACGCTCGGTAACGTATAGGTCCCTAGATTGACCCGGTATAATGTACGTTTGGTAATGTATAGGTCCCTAGATTGACCCGATATAACGTACGCTTGGTAATGTATAGGTCTCTAGATTGACACGGTATAATGTACGCTTTGTAATGTATTGGACCCTAGATTGACCCGGTATAATGTACGGTTTGTAATGTATAGGTCCCTCGATTGACCCGATATAATGTACGCTTGGGAATGTATAGGTCCCTAGATTGACCCGGTAAAATGTACGCTTGGTAATGTATAGTTCCCTAGATTGACCCGGTATAATGTACGGTTTGTAATGTATAGGTCCCTAGATTGACACGGTATAATGTACGCTTTGTAATGTATTGGTCCCTAGATTGACCCGGTATAATGTACGGTTTGTAATGTATAGGTCCCTCGATTGACCCGATATAATGTACGCTTGGTAATGTATAGGTCCCTAGATTGCCCCGGTATAATGTACGCTTTGTAATGTATTGGTCCCTAGATTGACCCGGGATAATGTACGCTTGGTAATGTATAGGTCCCTAGATTGCCCCGGTATAATGTACGCTTTGTAATGTATTGGACCCTAGATTGACCCGGTATAATGTACGGTTTGTAATGTATAGGTCCCTCGATTGACCCGATATAATGTACGCTTGGTAATGGATAGGTCTCTAGATTGACCCGGTATAATGTACGCTTTGTAATGTATAGGTCCCTAGATTGAACCATACAGTTTCTGCATTTTCTTTGTTTGTCTATTTTCAAGCATTCAAAGTTTGAACAACCTCAATTCTGTAAAATGCACTGCAACATGTGATATTTGTGGATTACTTCTTTGAGGAGGACTTCAACAAATATTCACAATAGTGACAGAAGTGATAAAAAAGTAATTTCCAACATGGAGTAGACGACAGGAAATATAACAGATATCTTAAAATTGTTTTAAAGGACTGTTTGGTTTGGTTTAGACATTTAGTCTTTCAAACGAATCATGAGAATATGCTGCAACGAGACTCGTTCATTTGTTTAGCTCATTTCAAACATGACTGTGTCGTGAGTTTCCTCACTGATGAGAAAGTTTAGGTTCCCCTAGTTTTGTAAAATTTCAGAAAAATAAATTGAAATCTCCATTTGCTGTCCATCCGGTCCACCATTTCTTAACTCTTAGCAAAGGGTCAGCAGGAATAGGAATACTATCTACTGATCTACTAACTAATATGAAAAGGGAATCCCGATGTGTACGATCATTTCATTAGCGGTAGTTTTTTTTTGTCCAGAAGGGACTAAGCTTAAAATTTGGAACTGTTTTTCGCAACTGGATGACAATGAAGCACAATTATTAATTTCTGGACCACTGCGGACGATTGCTGACACAGAAAGTGCAGAACTTCACCACACTGATCTTTGAAAGTCTCGCGTTTTAAGCGATGAAACAAATGTCCACAGAATTAAAAGTCTTCTCGGAACAAATTGTACAACGATTCATGAACTCGTCAACATATCTACCGGGACTTTCGCTTGTGATGAAACAACACATAATCTGATCATAACTACATCGGTTTTCATAACAATTATGATAAGTGGTTAATCATGAAACGTCTGACCCTCTGAAAAAAAACCCCCACCTCCCCAAAAAATAAAAATGATGACCTTTCAAATATAAAGTTAAAAATATTCCAAGTCATTATTGAGTGAAACAGTTTACCGTATAGATCAACTGCGGTTTGGTCAAATGATTCTTTTTGTAAGTAGCAAAAAATCAGGAAATGAATGTTTTAAAACACCTGCTAAAACCTTTTCTTAGTCGCTAGACAACAAACCTGCATAAGTCCGATATCTTGAGAAAAAAAATGTTTCATTTCCTGATGTAACACAAAGATCATCTGAATGTATTGACATGTGTGCTTATTAAACAAGGAGCCCTGTGGCGAAGAAAATCAATTTGTCGAATTATCAGAACAAGTATTGGATTATGCATTAAGGAAAGCATTATAAAAAGAAAGAGTTTATCAAGATCATCCACTCAGAAACGAGGAACGCATCAACAGATCTAAGGATTCTGGCTATCTGATCATTACCATAGCTTCAGGTCCCCAAACACTGAATAGATATTTTTGATAAAGCTATATATTTGTTTCATTTGGCACTAGGAGTGAATGAGCAAAATTAAACAAACCTTGATATAACTGTTCAACAAATATTTCGTTACGACAATCTGATTACACATTTGTTGCTCACCGATTTCTTTGACTTAATCACTGAAGCAAGACGCGGACATTTTAAACAGGATTAAATCTGATAACACGTCAATAAAGGAATGTTTACATTTAAATGTGTCATTGCTATGTTCTGTTTTCATATCCCTTGGTATGTTACACTGTAGGTGCTGGTTATACAGGTAAGCATACATGATGGCTCTTCTGCAGCCAGGTGAGACGAAATACAGAAAAAACTTCATACAAGCAACTTGCTATACCACACTACCGCTTGTTTTAAGTGAATACCTAGGTACAAATTACTGTAGTTGATCAAAGCCTGTATTTTAGATACAAACGTCTGGACTGGAAACGTAAAACTACGTACCAAAATTTAAGCATAATATTTTTAAACCGCCAGATTTTATTGACGCAAATTTACCCTAAGGTACTGTTTACTTAAAAACAAGAGAACACCAAAAAGTCAACAAAACTCTATTTCAGCTTAAAATCGATATAATTAGGACAAAATGAGAAGGAAAGAAACATTTAAAGGGAGACATTGAAAAGATACAAGGAGAAATGGACCAGGTGTCTAAGGAGGGAAAGCGTCTTCTGCCTCAACGAAACCCACACACTAGATCTAGGTCAAATCCCAGTAATATTATTGCGAGAGCCAGTGTATTTACAGCGAAACAACAAGACACACGAATGATAAACATTGACCTTTCGTTTCACATAAACATATTTCATAATGAAACCAAGACGACGACCACACAATTTGTCCATAGTCTTCACGAACCTGTATCGTTGGAAACCCTGTGTTATCAGGTTTACCGTCAGTCGAAGAGCAGGATAATTCCATTAAGTTTCACAGACAGTACTGGCAAACAGAAAGATTTAGAACTGAGCTTAGCTCGAGAGAACTAGTCGGCACTTCCTCCGATATTAGTTTCTGAATCATTGCGGAAACTGAGAAACATCTCGAAATTCTTGAAATGTTCGCACCGCATGAGGAGGCTGATATCCATCATTTACTTCATACAGCAGGTCATTCATTTGAATTTGTTACAGCTGATGATGAAACATGCGTGTTTTGTGATGTTTGCAAGCAGTGTTAAATACGCTGTTTGTGGGGCTCTTGTAGGGATCCAATGTCGCCAGTAAAACTCAATTTGGGACAGTAAAATCACTATATAACGTCGCAATTTTCAAAATACAGGAGGGTTATCCCCTATAAGTATGTTTACAGGTATACATCTTTTGAATTCAGTGTTGAGTAATAAACATGCAAATCCTTTATAGAAAATTAACTTAGCTAAAAGTTATTTTTCAATAATTTTTGCATAATTTCGACCAAACAATCACAAAACGTTGACGTATTTTGCTATAACTGGTTCATCGACAATGATATCAGACATCAATACAATAATTCGTTTGTTGTTAATATGATACAATGATATTATCACATATTCTATGTCAATGAATTGTGACAGTTGACATCACCTCATACTGGGATAACAAAACACATTGAGACAGGAAAGTTGCTAACGTAAACTGAAGGTTAAGTACATCATGGAAACGGTTAATAATCAACCTGCTATTTGGAAGAGGAGCTTGTCGGTCTTGCGTTGTATCTCTAGAGGGTCTTGGCTAGTTCAGCGGCAGAACGCTTAGACATGTACAGATATATACCATTCTATTGAAAGCGTCGGTGAAGTCCTAAGTGAGAATGCTAATAATTCAGATATTTAACTTTAACTAATGAAAAGAGAAATAGAATCAACAGAAAACAACAAATAGGTAAACTATGGATGCCAGGAAACAAAAAACAAAAACGAAAATTAAAAGATGAAGAGAAAAAAATCAAAACATTCTTGTAAATGTTCCTGAATTTGGTGTTCTTTATAAAATAACATATAAATGTATAATACACAAAACATTGTTCTACAAAATTAAAAGCTCATTGTGAGAGAGCGTTTAGAGGTGTAGGCTTAAAAAGAAGACACAAATACTACTACTTTAGGTAAGGTTATAGAGATGTAGGCTAAAACGTAAACACGAATAATACTAAGCTACCGATTTCGAAGGTAAACATGATAGTTTTTTTTTATCGTTGCATGCATTTCTATGTAAATCAGTTGAATTTTGTTTTGCCCTTGAATGGTGTATATGACATCATATCTGCCTTGTTCGGCTTAGCTGGGGAAAAAAAGAAAAACAAGTAGTTGAAAGCTGTTTAACATACTTCTAACTACAGTGTATGTATGGCATTAATACACCAGAAGGTGACGTTCTCTAATAGATTTACACATGACTGTTAGTGTACAGGTAATGTAGCATGATCTAACAACAGAAGATTCATAAACAGTTCACAGAAATATCAGGCCAGTGACCCAAAACTGCGAGTAAGCTTGCACTGCTGCACACATCCGTCAATTCCACGAAATCAAATGCTTCTTGGAAAAGAAGGCAGACAGCGTCACACATTACGGACCCAAGCGAGGCAGCGCTATTGCAAACGCTCATTTACATAGCAAGGTAGACTGACGGGTAGATGTACACCTCGATACAGGTAGGCGATATATATCCAGTATCACTTACACTCGTCTGGTAGGACCAATAATAACGGTGAGTGTTCGTATTTTCATTATTTTTAAAATGATCTTATACATTATTTTATGCCAAACTATGCACACACATGTAAACAATGCTATTATATGACAGGCACTTGTTTAAATGGCACTGCTGCACACATCCGTCAATTCCACGACATCAAATGCTTCTTGGAAAAAAAGACAGACAGCGTTACACATTACGGTACCCAAGCGAGGCAGCGCTATTGCCAACGCTCATTTTCATAACTAGGTAGACTGACGGGTAGATGTACACCTCGATACATTGCTGGTTTGTCATGTTATCAAACCGTTTCACTCTGACATTTCGAGGTGTTTCATCCCATGAGAATCAAGTAATCAATCTATCGATTGCTTTCTTCCTTGGTTTGTTTTTATTTTTATTTAGCGTCATATTAACAGCTAAGGTCAGTTAAGAACGTGTCTTCATGTGTGTTGTGTATGCCAGCAGTGTGTATGTGTGCCTCCGCAGGGTATGTTGGTGTATTTAATAAAACAATGAATATATAATGTTCTACTTCTGATACACGAGCCCATACCGTAAAAAATGTTCTATAAATATATGTTTACTTGTTTTAAAACACTGTTTACCTTGATTGATGTTTATAAACAATGCTTCACGGAGAAAGCCGCATGGAGTCACGTAGGTGCCCACTTAGTCACGAGTCCGCGCGCCGTTACTTTCCCAAAACAGAAATGGATTACGAGATAGGTGTAAACAAAGACACGCGTGGAAGAACGAGACGTGACACAACTGCATAGCCTCAACTGACGATAACATTTGCGGGAAATACAAAAATCTATTCTACTTAAGCATGGGCAGCGTTCTGCTTACGAGCGGTAATATGCATTCGTGTAGTTGTAATGTTATTGTTTTGCATTGATAATTTAGGTATTTACAAACATGGTTGCGATATATTTTAGAAAGATATTACGCCTGATGCTATTTTCCAACAGTGATTTTTACAGTTATAGTCGTTCAAAGTTTCCCTGGATATGTTTCAGCTGATGGACAGACACACGAAAAGGCTGGGAAATGGCAGTACATATTTACTACAACAATGTTGCGGTTTTATTTGTGATAAGCACATTCTAATAGTCCATGTATTGTTGTAGGCCTTTTTTAAGCTTTCAAGTAAACTTTCATCAACTAGCTATGCATGACTTTTCTTCTGTCAAAACACCGCCGAACTTTTAATCATCTTTAAGCCCCAATTCAGAAATAAAACCCATTAATGAAGGCCTGGAACTGACCTAAGGTGCCCTATCCTGACAGTATATTTAACCCAGCCGTTACTTATAAGACACAGAGTATAGACAATATGAAACTCGTCTAAAATGTACGTGCATGTACTTGCGTTAATAGCAAATTAGGTTCTTCACCGATTCACGATTTGATTAAATTAAGACATGTCATAACATTTAGTAATGACGATATAAATTGGACTGGCACATGGACACATGCGTAAAACGGAAATAAGATTGAACATTATAGTTTAAAACAACGGCACATGGTGACGGGTAGGAGAACAATATTTAATTTACACCCATACTTATTTAGTTGTATGTTCCAAAACTTAGCTCTCTAGAACATTCCTGAGAGCTTACATGATCGGTTGATTGTCTATGGGACTAAGATGATACGATTGTTAGTACACATAAGTGAATAGAAAAACATATAAATCGTGTACAATCCGATGTGTTGTGGGCTATATAGCAAAAAGCATCAAGTTAAAGTTATTATCTACGTAAACTTTACAATGAAGAATCAACGTGACTTCCACCTTATTTCAATCGATCTGAACAAGCTATAAGTGAATCCGTTTGACCGTAGTGCTATTATAGTTGCCTGAGATAATGGTGTAGTAGTTCTAATTATAAATGATGTAACTCCCGTTACTCTTGAGAGATAGTCATTCCAAAAAGGTCAAGGTTACTATCCTAGTTCTCATGACAGCATTGTAACCCTGCATGACGTAACAAACATCTGGAACATTTTCGCTTATCAAGTGTGATAGTCCCTACACTTATGTTTACTCTTGACTTCCCTGTGTTAGCCACCTAACGGTTGTACATCTTCACCAATCGATCAACAAATTCAAAAACAAAAGGATAATAGCCTCATAGGTCAACGATCGGGCACTTACTGCTGTTTAAATTCAAATTTTCATATTTGTTATGCTACCAATGCCTTCTGGAGTACATAAACGTTCAGTGAGTAAGCATACCATAATGCAAGGTCAGGTCTGTTCGTCTCGAATTTCGGTATCTGGTTTCATGGGTCAGATACAGAAATAAATGCATCACTGGTTATGGTGTGGTATGTCAATACACCAATATCTTGTTTGTTTCAACAATTGATTAGTCAATTTCATATAAATCAAACTTATAAGTCGAAAAAGATATTAATATATTGACATTTACTGATGAGTATCATGTCCAGAGATACGAACATGACAAGGCATATTTTGAAAAAAAAGATAAGGCAAAGTTCTAGTTTTAATATAGGTAATACTACGGTTTTTTGTTTGTATACTACATCAATAAAGCATTCTAATAACAGCTTCCCTACATAGTTATACGGTTATTGTAAGATTTACTGGTATTGAGAAACGTCGTTCTTCTCTCGTATATTTATATAAAATTACATCAGCTTTACTCATCTCACAACTGAGTAATTAAATTCGTATGACACAATTCACTGCAGCGTACTACTTTTTCTTTCAAACAGCGGGAGTTTGCAAGCCTTTCAGTACATCAGCGTTTCCGTACTTACAAATGAAATGTTTTGGTATATTTAGTATAAATGATTGCTTTATGATTATAGCAATTGACACTATTTCATAAGGATAAATTAAGGAAACGTCCATCATTTTCCAACTCACTTTCAAACTCAAATCCGATTTGATTTTTTACCTTAGATTGCCTTTTTTATAAATTGATCCAGGTCATAGAATAAGGCAATCCTACCTGTGGCGTCATCTAGAGTGAACAAACATGGAGGTTCCCACAAAGGGAAGGATGGAGGGGGAGGGTCTGTTTGTGTGTAAAGATCACTTGTGTTCCATCACGCAGCCTAGTGTTATCAAGATGAATATTAATGACTTGTGCAAAGCTCGAAAAGTGTCAAGGCTTATACAACAAAAAGCAAAGCAGAATTTAACACAAAAAATTGTCACACACTTGACACAATCCAACTACTTTTGTAGTTGCTGCCAACATAATGTCAAAACCCTCTGACTAAAACTGAATTGCTTAAGTGTGATTTGACATGGCTGATATGGGCCATCGTAGAAATGCATCCAAAATCTACGTAGTTTTGAAGCGCACTTTGCCGGGTAAATGCATCCTCCCGTCCATTTCGTTCAAACCATGTATTTGCAAATTTATCAAAGTCGGATGAACCACTTCTAGTGGATGATTTACAAAGCGATCGAAGAGTCATTCAGCAGTAAAAAATAAAAATCGAAAATAAAAGCTACCCTTGATATTGATTAGTTTGTTGGCGGTTTTGACAAAACTTGGAGGCACCAGTTTCATTCTCTGGCTTTCAGAATCGAGTTTTTTCTTTTGAACTTGTTTTGTAGATGCCGGTCTTAAGGTAAAAGTACACACGTTTAATTGAGAAGAAGAGTTCCAATAAGATTTTTGTTGCATGCAGAATATTTGTCTCCCGTCTATATAGAAGTTGAAGCAACCAAAAGGAGTTTCTCCATATGTTTTCCATATGTCAGCGCTGGATGGCATAATTGGTATAATTTACGCTTTGTAATGTATAGGTCCCTAGATTGAACCATACAGTTTCTGCATTTTCTTTGTTTTTCTCTACTTTCAAGCATTCAAAGTTTGAACAACCTCAATTCTGTAAAATGCACTGCAACATGTGATATTTGTGGAATGCTTCTTTGAGGAGGACTTCAAAACAGTTAAACTTGTCGGTACGCTTTACCTTAAGGAACATGGTTGTAACGTTTGGTGTCATTGCTGAAGGTTATTTCGAACATGGGGTAGACGACAGGAAATATAACAGAATTCTTAAAATTGTTTTAAAGGTCTGTTTCGTTTGGTTTAGACATTTAGTCTTTCAAATCATGATAATATGCTGCAACGAGGCTCGTTCATTTGTTTAGCTCATTTCAAACAAGACTGTGTCGTGGGTTTCTTCACTTATGAGAAAATTTAGGTTCCCTAGTTTTGTAAAATTTCAGAAAAATAAATTGAAATCTCCATTCAGTGTCCATCCGGTCCACAATTTCTTAATTCTTAGCAAAGGGTACACAGGATTAGTACTACTATCTACTGATCTATTAACTTATATGAAAAGGGAACCCTGATGTGTACGATCATTTCATTAGCGGCAGGTTTTTTTGTCCAGAAGGGACTTAACATTTGGAACTGTTTTTCGCAACTGGGTGACAATGAAGCACAATTATTAATTTCTGGACTACTGAGGACGATTGCTGACATAGAAAGTGCAGACCTTTACAAACTGATCTTTGAAAGTCTCGCGGTTTAGCGATGAAAACAATGTCCACAGAATTAAAAGTCTTCCTGGAACAAATTGTACAATGATTCATGAACACGTCAACATATCTACCGGGACTTTCGCTTGTGATGAAACAACACATAATCTGATCATAACTACATCGGTTTTCATAAAATTTGTGATGAGCGATTCATCACAAAAAGTATGACTCTCTGAAAAACACACACACACACCCAACAAAAATGATGACCTTTCAATCATAAAGTAATTAAAAGAAAACAATCCAAGACTTAATTGAGTAAAACAGTTTACCGTATAGATCAACTGCTGTTTGGTCAAATGATTTATTTTATAAGTAGCAGAAATTCAGAAAATTAATTATTTAAAAAACACCTGCTAAAACCTTTTAGCAGTCGCTAGACAACAAATCTGCATGAGTCCGATATCTTGAGAAAAAAAGGTTTCATTTCCTGATGTGACACAAATATTATCTGAATATATTGACAGTATGTACTAGTTGAACAAGGAGCCCTGGGGCGAAGAAAATCAATTTGTCGAATTATCAGAACAAGTATTGAATTATGCATTAAGGAAAGCATTATGAAAAGAAAGAGTTTATCAAGATCATCCACTCAGAAACGAGGAACGCATCAACAGATCTAAGGATCATCCACTCAGAAACGAAGAACGCATCAACAGATATAAGGATCATCCACTCAGAAACGAAGAACGCATCAACAGATATAAGGATCATCCACTCAGAAACGAAGAACGCATCAACAGATATAAGGATCATCCACTCAGAAACGAAGAACGCATCAACGGATCTAAGGATCATCCACTCAGAAACGAAGAACGCATCAACAGATATAAGGATCATCCACTCAGAAACGAAGAACGCATCAACAGATATAAGGATCATCCACTCAGAAACGAAGAACGCATCAACGGATCTAAGGATCATCCACTCAGAAACGAAGAACGCATCAACAGATATAAGGATCATCCACTCAGAAACGAAGAACGCATCAACAGATATAAGGATCATCCACTCAGAAACGAAGAACGCATCAACAGATATAAGGATCATCCACTCAGAAACGAAGAACGCATCAACAGATATAAGGATCATCCACTCAGAAACGAGGAACGCATCAAAGGATCTAAGGATCATCCACTCAGAAACGAAGAACGCATCAACAGATATAAGGATCATCCACTCAGAAACGAAGAACGCATCAAAGGATCTAAGGATCATCCACTCAGAAACGAAGAACGCATCAACAGATATAAGGATCATCCACTCAGAAACGAAGAACGCATCAACAGATATAAGGATCATCCACTCAGAAACGAAGAACGCATCAAAGGATCTAAGGATCATCCACTCAGAAACGAAGAACGCATCAACAGATATAAGGATCATCCACTCAGAAACGAAGAACGCATCAACGGATCTAAGGATCATCCACTCAGAAACGAGGAACGCATCACGGATCTAAGGATCATCCACTCAGAAACGAGGAACGCATCAACAGATATAAGGATCATCCACTCAGAAACGAGGAACGCATCAAAGGATCTAAGGATCATCCACTCAGAAACGAGGAACACATCAATAGATCTTAGAATTTTGTCCATCTGATCATAACCATAGCTTCAGGTCACCAAACGACGAATGGATATTTTTGACAAAGCTGTATATTTGTTTCATTTGGCACTAGGAGTAAATGAGCAAAATCAAACAAACTTTAATATAACTATTCAACAAATACCTGAGCTATATTATCAACGCTGACGCAAGACGCGGACATTTTAAACAGGATTAAATCTGGATGTATAGCACGTCAATAAAGGCATGTTTACATTTAAATGTATCATTGCTATGTTCTGTTTCATATCCCTTGGTATGATACACTGTAGATGCTGGTTATACAGGTAAGTATACATGATGTCTCTTCTGCAGCCAGGTGAGACGAAATACAAAAAAAACTTCATGCAAACAACTTGCTTTACCACACTACCGCTTGTTTTAAGTGAATACCTAGGTACAAATTACTGTAGTTGATCGAATCCTGTATTTTAGATACAAAATTCTGGACTGGAAACGTAAAACTACGTGCCAAAATTTAACCATCATATTTTTAAACCGCCAGATTTTTGTGACGCAAATTTACCCTGAAGTACGGTTTACTTAAACAGCAAGAGAACACCAAAAATTAAACAAAAATCTTTTTCAGCTCAAAATCGATTTAATTCGATTCAAAATGAGAAGGAAAGAAACATTTACAGGGAGACATTGAAAAGATACAAGGAGAAATGGACCAGGTATCCAAGGAGGGGAAGCGTCTTCTGTCTCAACGAAACCCACTCACTAGAATTAGGTCAAATCCCAGTAATATTATTGCGAGAGCCAATGTATTTTCAGCGAAACAACAAGACACACGAATGATAAACATTGACCTTTCGTATCACAAAAGTATATTCTATAATGAAACCAAGACGACGCCCACAACATTTGTCTATAGTCCTCATCAACCTGTATCGTTGGAAACCCTGTGTTATAATGTTTACCGTCAGTCGTAGAGCTGGATCATTCCATAGAGTTTCACAGACGGTACTGGCAAACAGAAAGATATAGAACTGAGCTTAGCTCGAGAGATCATTGCTGAAACTGACAAACATCTCGAAATTCTTGAAATGTTCACGCGGCACGAGGAGGCTGATATCCGTCATTGGCTTCATACAGCAGGTCATTCATTTGAATTTGTTACAGCTGATGATGAAACATGCGTGTTTTGTGATATTTGCAAGCAATGTTGAATACGTTGTTTGTGGGGCTCTTGTAGGGATCCAATGTCGCCAGTAAAACTCAATTTGGGCCAGCATAATCACTATATAACGTCGCGAATTTCAAAATACAGGAGGGTTATCCCCTAAAAGTATGTTTACAGGTATACATCTTTTTAACTCAGTGTTGAAGAACAAACGTGCAAATCTTTAAAGAAAATTAACTAAGCTAAAAGTGATTTTTCAATAATATTTGTATAATTTCGACCCAACAATCTTAAAACGTTTACGAATTTTGCTATAACTGGTTCATCAACAATGATGTGAGACATCAATACAATAATTCGTTTGCTGTTAATATGATACAATCATATTATCACATATCAATGTGAATGAATTGTGATAGTTGTCATCACCTCATACTGGGATAACAAAACACATCAAAACAGGAAAGTTGCTAACGTAAACTGAAGGTTAAGTACATCACGGAAAGGTTAATAATCAACCTGCTATTTGGAAGAGGAGCTTGTCGGTCTTGCGTTGTATCTCTGGAGGGTCTTGGCTAGTTCAATGTGAGAACGCTGATAATTCTGATATTTATTTGTAAATATGATAAGAGAAATTAAATCAACCGAAAACAACAATGAGGTAAACAGGGATTTCATTAAAGGATGAAGAGAAAAAACTCAAAACATTCTTGTAAAAAATCCTGAATTTTGTGTTCTTTATGAAATAACATACAAATGTATAATACACAAAACAATGTTCTACAAAATTAAAAGCTCATTGTGAGAGAGCGTTTAGAGGTGTAGGCTTAAATAGAAGACACAAATAATACCACTTTAGGTACGTGAAAGAGGTTATAGAGATGTAGGCTAAAACGTAAACACGATTTCGAAAGTAAACATGATGTTTTTTTGTTTTGTTTTTTTGTTTTTATCGTTGCATGCATTTCTATGTAAATCAATTGAATTTTGTATTGCCCTTGAATGGTGTATATGACATCATATCTCCCTTGTTTGGCTTAGCTGGGGTAAAAAAGAACCACATAAGTTGAAAGCTGATACATACTTCTTACAAAGTATGACATGAATACACAGACGGTGACGTTCTCGAATAGATATACACACGACTGTTAGTGTATATGTAATGTAGCATGCTCTAATTACAACAGAAGATTCATAAACAGCTCACAGATATATCAGGTGACCCAAAACTGCGAGTAAGCTTGCACTGCTGCACACATCCGTCAGTTCCAGGAATCGAATGCTTCTTGGAAAAGGTGACGGACAGCGTCACACATTACAGACCCAAGCGAGGCAGTGCTAATGCCAACGCTCATTAACATAACAAGGTAGACTGATTGGTACACCTCGATACAGGTAGGCGATATATATCCAGTATCACTTACACTCGTCTGGTAGGACCAATAATAACGGTGAGTGTTAGTATTTTCATTATTTTTAAAATGATCTTATAAATTATTTTATGCCAAACTATGCACACACATGTAAACAATGCTATTATATGACAGGCACTTGTTTAAATGGTACTGCTGCACACATCCGTCAATTCAACGAAATCAAATGCTTCTTGGAAAAGAAGGCAGACAGCGTTACACATTACGGTACCCAAACGAGGCATTGCTATTGACAACGCTCATTTACATAACAAGGTAGACTGATGGGTAGATGTACCCCTCGATACAGGTAGGCGATAGATATCCAGCGTCACTTACAATCGTCTGGTCGGACCAATAATAACGGTGAGTGTTCGTATTTTCATTATTTTTTAAAATGATCTTATAAATTATTTTATGCCAAACTATGCACACACCTGTAAACAATGCTGTTGTTATATGACGGGCACTTGTTTAAATGTTAGAAGCTGTAGTGTAGACGTGGTATTTCATCAGTAGATATGTATCAAGTGGGCTGGTAATATATTTGGTTGTTGAATTCAGGATAAGAAATAGTAAGTGCAAGGTGACAGTTACAATCTATGGTAAGAGTAGTATGTAACTATATATAAAAAATAATGTATCTTGACTTTTAAAATCAAAGATTATATCAATAAAACACAATATGCAGAATCGATTATATAGTGGATTCTAGAACACAAACGCTCGGTTACAATACTGCCCATTTATGGACCAGGTACATTTATGATGCATGACTCTACCTTTGTTATTTGTCTACAAAACTTATTATTTGTATCCAAGGTAACGGTAAACCTATATCCTGGTTCAGTACTAGCGCCACACTTCGATACACACGTGTGGGCCAGCATTGTGGTGTTATTATAGACTATGTTTACAGACACCAGGCCTCGTTCTGACCGCATATTTAACATGAGCGTTCGTGACGATATTAATAGCATTTGGTGGTACGGGGCATATTTGTCAAACGAGTAATCAGCTCTTTACAGACTGCATTTAGCCAATGGGAGAAGCCCAAAAGCCATAGACGATTAACGCATTCAGTTACACAACCTGTCACAGTCACCGAATAATGACGTATATGGCGTTGTAGCCCTCAGTATATCATTCCGTCGTCTATTCAATAGGCATATGGCCGTGTAGCCGTCTGTATATATAATCAGTTAGGCCTTGTACCACCTATATTAGTATATGTGTGCTCGAGCGTGTGACGGCGTGGTCTAAACTCATGTCCCTGTGCGTAGATATTACATGTCATTAATAAACTACCTGAATTTGATATGTCGGTGTCTGTTTATTTGCCAAATTTCAATCATATCAGACTGTAAGACCCTGACGGACCCAAGATCACCGAACCTGGGTGTTGGTTTTGAAGTGAAAAAACGATCCTTTTACATTGGTGCCGTACTAACCAGGATCTTGGCAACCCGTTTTGGGCATTTTTGATTTTTTTGTGTGTATTATAATTATTTGTAAAAAATTGAAGTTGAAGTAATGGCAAATGGACATGATTCAGGTGTGTTTACTGTGAATAAATGGTCGTTATATACTTGGCCTGTCCCTACTACAAGTATAACAACAGGGCAGATACTGCCAGAGATAACAAGCAGTGGAATGGTGCTGTTCTCAGCCTCAGGTGACAAGTTGCTGGTAAAAGCCAACTTTATGAACAGGAGGCTATAGTGGCTAGGTTGGATCAGTTGTCCGGAATTCTAGGTATAGTTTTCCTGAGTAAACATGGAGGAGAAATCCATTTTAGGGACAAGACTCTTAGGTTAGAGGGTCAGTGTGTCAATCTAGCTACTGAAATGTGTGTGCCCATGTTAGGGTTTGTAAAACTGTCTCTGTGCCAGCTAACTCAGACTGTCACTTCAAGGGTTATGTAGATGGGGCTATAGATGGTACAGAGGGTGTAGTAGAACCAAATGGTTTTGTAGCTAAACAGGGACTAATGGTGGTTAGTGTGTTAAGTAGACGCCACCAGGAAAGAGATCAATCTCTCTGTTTTGAACCTTAGAACTAAAAGTGTCAAGTTGCGAAAATGACAATAGTAGTCCAGGGGAGACAACTCCTCAGCAAACCAGAGAAGACAGGATGATAAAGTCTCCACCCAGATACTATTCATAGAATCTTTAAAAAAACCTTTCATAAAAGTTATAACACAGAAGATAGATTAATGTTGAATTACATTTATTCTGTGTTGCACAAAATACAAATGTGATCAGTGTGATCTATATCCTTATATAACGAGTATGTACTTTCTTTTAAAGATGTTTTCCTTGTGTTGCTTGCACTGGTACAGCTTAAAATGACTTTATAATTTGGATGTTTTTTGATCTGCAGTTATAGAAACTGGGTACTATGTGTAGTATGCCATTATGTGGTGATTCTGTGTATATTGATTGTGTAGATATACATAGGGAATCTGTAAGGCGGAAGAACTCGAGATAATTGACGTGTTTGTTTTGTTATCCCATTTTCCTTATACTTTTATTGTATTATTATCATGTAATACTGGGGATTGTTTTTCTTATAGTTGTGCTTTTGGTAGAGATATTAGTCACATACATGTAGTTAGTGTTTGGAGTGGATAAACACAGTAGCTGACCATACTTGAGGTGAGGCATGGTGAAGTAGTTGCTATAAGAAGGTAGTTTGCTGGACACTGTAGATTGTGCTCTTGTGCGATTGGAGAGTTACTGAGATTATGATATATACTATCTGTGTATTGCTGTTGTAGCCTATGCCAAGTAATAGTTGAATTTCATTTTATTGTGAACGATCAATTACGCTGGCTAAGCAGTAGAAGTGACCCCTGTGTGGAGGAATACCAACCTGTAGAACTGGACTTTGATCAATTCGAAGAAGATAACTAAGTTATCATGGGNGGGGGGGGTGCACAGTGTGCATATTTGTATATACAATGTATTTTATGTTTTCCACAGTAATGAGATTAAGGTGCTAAATATAGTATGTGCATTGAATTTGTTGTATGGAATCATGAAGTTTTTTTAGTAATGATTTTCGTCCCAAATTTACTGCCGAATTGTAATTTACAGATAGAGTTCATGAATTATTATATAGTAAAAGATTCTATCCTAAATTATATGATAAGTTTTGTAGCACCTAAACTATTTTTTGTTGAAATCAAGCTAGAAGAATTGATATTAGGGAAATATCCCTATTTATGTTAAAATTTGAAGATTGCATAATGTGTTAATGAATGTCCTCAGGATTTTTTGAGGTTCTTGCCACGAACATTGTGACAGTTTGTGCAACTTGGAATTGTGAGCTTTAATATTTTTTGTTGTTGTTGTTCAAGTTTAATGTACAGTATGTTAGATGAGAGAATGCAGAGGGCAAACATTATTTCTGAATTTTGTATTTTTTTTTATATCAACCTGACATGCTACTTAAAGTTGATGTTGTCCAGGCCTGTGTATTTTTGTTTGGCTCGGTAGGACACTTTTCTTTTTCATCTGAGTTTACAAATTATGTACATTTTGACAAAAAGTTCTGACTTTTGTCTTCAGGGGGGAGAAGTGTAAAAGTTTAGGAAATTTGTAAACTTTAAAGAGTTATATTTGACGTCTGTCTGCTTACCAGGCCTAGTCTTCCATCATGATCGATTTTCCCGAAGTTGATATACTGTTCGGAACTCTATAGCAATAGCGAACATGTTCCGAGTAATTTTGCGCGACTATTGCACGTGCAAAGTGCCGAGTTTTTGCCTATTTAAGCCGGCACACATGTGTGCTTCGGCAGTCAGAATAAAGTCTTGACAGGACTGGTTCGGCTCAATTCTTTTCTACTTTAGCAGTAGCTGTAGGTATGGGGTCTCTAAAACGCAATAGGGTAATGTTAGCGTAGATAGTTTACCAGTCACAGTACTAGCAGTAGTTTCTCTGTAGCCATGTAGAATTTTTGTAGGAGTTTTAGAGTCGTGTTTGAACCATGTCGTCGTCTATTTAATAGGTTTATGGCCGTGTAGCCGTCAGTTTATCATTCCGTCGTCTATTCAATAGGCATATGGCCGTGTAGCCGTCTGTATATATAGTCAGTTAGGCCTTGTACCACCTGTAAATAAAGCCATGTTATTGAGGTGTATGTGTGCTCGAATGTGTGACAGCGTGGTTTAAACTCATGTCCCTGTGCGTATATATTCCATGTCATTAATTTAACGAAAAATACACTTCTCTTCAAAACACGCGATATTAAAATTCTACGGATTGTCCGCGACAAATACACATTGCAAAAGATCAACACCATATGCGTATATATGTCTGCTTAGTGTCAGGTCTCAACATTATCTTAAACCCCATCATTTATGTGGAAAATACGGGAGAAACTCTTGGTACTATTTTACGATTTAATATGGCTTCCAGATACGATGTCATGTGATCACCACAAAACCAATCGATACTCTTTTACCATCTCTTATTTTCGAGCTATCTCCCTTTCCACACTAATGCTGCATTGTAACAATACAAACTATGGGGGTACAACAGAACCGGTGTTTATCTCAATTATCGATTAGAACAATAACATTTATATAATTGCATACCTGTTAATGACATGTATTTAGCTGTATATGTTAACTACATTGATTCATGGAAACTACAATATGAATTAAAGTTAATAACAAATAGACTCATTATAATATTGACCACGTTAGGTGTGTGATGATACTGTATAAGTTGAACAAACTTCTACAAGAGATTGGGACTATCACTCGAATCATGCTCAGCGTTTCATTTAGTCCCTGATTTTGATGATGAATATTGTTTAAACATTAGTTTCATTATCATATTGAATGCCAATTGAACTTCTTGTTTGTACAAACTGTTCACTGAGGTAATATAACATTAAAAGCTTTCATCAGTCTAAAGGCTCTGTACCTTGTCTCAACCACGCACAGCACCAATGTACACGTCACCCCTGTAAAACAGGTGCCAATGAAATAAGTAAATATCGATACCTTTTGGTAACCTATATATTGCCCTTCTGTATATCTCTATTGATATAAAATATGTAAAATAAGAGTGTGCATTTATGATCGATTTTGATAATCAATTTGATCTATGATATTTTTTGGCCATTAAATTGATATTTGACATTAACAATGTGCTGGCCAAGACAAACACAAACATATATATATGGGTGAAAGAAGTAATATAGACGGTAACATCCCATATAACACTGGATCCTAATGGAGGTATGTCCGTAGGAAACGAATTACTCAAAATATTATATGGGGCAATAGATCCTCTACATCAGCGTTCCTTGTCCGCGATGCTCTCAGCTTAATTGCTGACTTCGGCTGTCTTTAGCCGAGGGGACTATTGGTTTGATATAATAGCTATATTTTCAATTATAGTATATCAATTCTATCTTCTTGTAATATGATGTATATTTACATGTAACTGTTCTGTTTCACTGTGCCTTGAAAAAGGAGCGGATCGCTACGAAAATTTGACAAGCTAAACTTGTCCACACTGTCGGAATTACTTCTTTGCCATATATATATATATATATATATTAGAAACAGTTAGTTCATTTAACGGGCTGACCCCTTAAGTCATGGATGTGTCTCTATGTCATCAGTGCAGCTGACAAGCTTTGTCATTAGTCAAAGTGATATTTACAAAAGAGTTTGTCATAATGGCGTCATTGGTATCTTTAATTATTATCAGTCTAGTTAATTCACGAGGAACTCAGTCCATACAGAATACATATGATACTATTATATAAAATTATGTTCGTATGCCAGGGAGATCGTTAAAGTTTGAATGGAACACGAAATGTACGTTAAGTTTACATGGCGATGATATGATTAGTAAAAATATATTCACATATTTCAAAGCCTGTCATAATTTATCGTTACGCGACCGCGATTTTTTTTGATGTATATCAAAGGACCAAACTAATCTTCTCGTCTCATCTACAAGGTGTTGCACACTGAACCTTCGATTTTGCTATGACATATTTCAGGGGTGTAGAGAGCGAATGTGAGCGTAACCCCTAGATATCGAGGATGAGGCATTACAATTACAAGGCACACTGTGTTTAAAATTTGTGCGACAGCAATCGACTTCTATCACGGAAGTATTCGGAGCAAGATCTTGAATACAAAATCAACTTCAGCATGTAAATTTCGTAGGTAAGGGACTAGGGGTGTTACTATAAAGAAAGGGAAAGTTAACGAGTGGAAAGTCATAATTATACCTCTAATCGTGCGGGTAAGTAGTAAGCTGGTCATGATTTTAGTAAAGATCGAGGATAGTTGCTGAATAAAAGGAGTCCGTTGTGTCAATGACTTCAAGCTCAGGAGGGTATAAACAATCGATTCGGTCAACACATCTCTTGTTATTTAAAGACAGCACATCGCTGATGTCTATTTAGGCGAAATTTACGGACTTGGCTAGGTTTTATTAACAGTCCAGATACGCTCATCAGTAAACTTAGCTTGACATGAGAAACAAAACGGCTAGAGATGGGGCAGGATATGTACTCATAGGAGTGTCTACAACCTGTCTTGCCGCAATACGCAGCAAACATATTTTAACAAGGATCTCATTTTCACAAAACAATCTTCCTCAGTATGTTTTGTTTGGGCCTTTATTGTGCTTTTCAAAAACAGATCACCAAGATAGTTTTCAACCATATATTGATATCGCTGTTCGCCTTCATTGGAAAGGAAGCTATCTTAATCAGAGAACGAACGAGTTCCTTCAGTTTTGTATGGTGAATATTATCTGAAGGGGTGAAAACGTCCAAAGTGTTCATAGAAGAAACATTTTGAAAAGTGAAAGTTTAATATTTATGAAAAGGTCTTTTGAATTTTTCAAAATCTGCATTCCATCCTCTTGATTATGCAGTGTCACAATGCGACTTTAACCCTGATATTAAGTGGTACTAAGAATGTCAGTGAGAATTTTCCAACTGAAGATTTTTAGACAGTTGCAACATTCTCTTCAAATTAGGACTTAAATTGGAACACTTTGAAAATAAAGAACACCTAGCTTTTCAATTTTGATATGATAATTGGTTCTGAATACTTTCAGACTTATTAATATTCTCCAATCGCTTACCTCATTGTAAATTTAAAAAGTTGACGGATGTTTATAGTTAATTTGTTTAAGACAGAATTACTTGCAAGTTTATTCAAATTAATCGAGATGAAAAGTCATTTACATACATGGACAAACTATCGATGATCGTATCCTACGGACATATCAATTTGCACCAATTATGGTTAAAATCTGATAAGCAAATTTACACTAGGTTTTAGATGGTTATATTTTGATTTAAAAACGTGTAGACAATTACACCTTACTAAATTAATCGTATCGCATTTTCTACAAAACAAGAATACAACCGATTATTTTCTTTAAAATATTTAGTTGTATCAAAATTTAGAAATATAGCAACGGTATTCATATCTGGACCAAACAAAAACTGTGATACAAAAATGTATTATCGTATGCCATCGACTCCAAGGCATTTCTCCTAACTAAGGTAACAAAAGGCATTCCCCCTAACTATGATAATAAAAGGCATTTCCCCTAACTATGGTAACAAAAGGCATTTCCCTTAACTATGGTAACAAAAGGCATTTCCCCTTACAATGGTAACAAAAGATAATTTTATCTCCATTTCTTTATAACGATGCTATGTTGCTAATTAACCATGTTAAATCAATTAAATAAAATGTTTGTTTCAACGTTTTATTTTTCAGATGGAACAAACTTGGATTGTCTTCATTGTTTACATTCTGGCAATAACAGCGACACTGACTTTAGGCCAGAGCAGTGAAAATATTTGGGAACAGGTTCGAACAAGAGAAAATCCATGTCGCGATACAACATGTGGGGAGAAACAGGATGTGTGTGAATGCTACCTGACAGTTGAACACCGGCTCACCATGATGATAGAAGAAGAAGGAACTCTAGTGGTACCTGACGGAGGTCAGCTTTATGAGTATGACAAACCAGGGAGTCCTATAATAAAAGCTGAACAGATACCGTATATCTTGACGGCGGATGCTAACAACTCGCGATTGGTAATTACCGTAAATCGGCGATTCCCTGGTCCACAGATCACGGCGTACGAGGACCAGACTTTGATTATCCACGTCCGTAACCTGATGGACACAGATAGTACTACGGTACACTGGCATGGTATGCATCAACAAGGATCCACGTATGCAGACGGCGTTGCTATGGTGTCTCAATGTCCCATAGGGCACGGTCAGGAATTTACCTACAAATTCAAGGACAAACCGCACGGCACCAGCTTCTACCACGCCCATATTGGTGATCAGAGGACTATGGGGTTGTATGGAGCTCTCGTCGTGTACCCTAAACAGGAGCTCCCCTCAGCAACAAGACAGGAACATGTTGTCACTTTGCAGGACTGGAACCACGACGATGATGCAGCAACGTTATATCAACGTATGTTATATGGAATATACGACCAGGCGAGTAAAACACCATACCAGACAACGTCCTCCCGGGACGGTGCTATGTACAGCAGGTACAGGTTCCATTCCGGACTAGTGAACGGTAAAGGACGTTACTACGAGTCATCTACCGTACATAACCAGGCTCCTCTGACTGAGTTCGATGTGGCCCCAAACAGGAACTACACGTTCCGAGTCATCAGTGCAGCCACCCTCTATCCCTTCCGTGTGTACGTGGAAGGGCATCCGACAATAACTGTCGTTGCTTCTGACGGATTTGCATTGAAACCAATGGATGTTGAATCGTTCATCATTAATCCAGGAGAAAGATACGACTTCATTCTGTTTACAGACAAGCCTAAAGATAACTATTTACTGGTTGCACAAACACTGGAGGTAGAAAGTGAGATTACAAGACGTGATGAATACCACGTGGCGGAGGCTATCATCCATTACATAGGTATAGCCAGAAACCTAAACCTTGAAAAGAGCGGTAAAAACGAGTGTACAGCGTCAAAGAAATGTGTGATATTCAATTGTCCTTATCTTCTTCCTACAGGGGTAAATGAAACCTGTAAGACTTTCAATGACGCGAGAACAGATGATTTTAACTCTCGGCCACAAGATGTCAGGAATATCGATAAGGAGCTTTTTTTTAATTTTGCCTTCCCTGGACCTGGTGGCTTTATGGAAGGGTCGGTGAATGGTCGCCAATTCGTGCCTCCTGTTGCTCCGGTCTACTCACAGCCCGAAGATATCGATACTCAGTGCGATGTAAACTGTGAAGACCGGACGTGCCGATGCACGTACACTCAAGAAATAGAATCCGGAAAAGTGTACCAGTTTACACTGACTAACCTTGGGAATGGGAAAGGATGGTCACATCCGGTACATTTACATGGACATTCATTTTACGTCATGAAGATGGGTTTTGGACAGTACAATCCTGGTGGTAATTTGACTGATTCAACAGCGGATATATCATGTGCACGTGGGTCGAAGGGTTACTGTAACGCTCCGATATGGGCCGACGAGACATGGAATGGAGGAAACGTACCAGACCTAGTTTTAAACGATACCGCACAAAAAGACACCATCATCGTCCCTACTGATGGTTACGTCGTCATCAGATTCAAGGCAGACAACCCTGGTGCCTGGTTCTTCCATTGTCACATCGACCTCCACAACACAAACGGTATGGGGATGGTAATTATTGAAACTCCAGAGAAATATCCTGATGTCCCGAAAAACTTTCCAGTCTGTGGGGACTTCAAAGAGGAGGAAAATGACAGTGAGGGTATGTTTGATCAATGGTTATATTTTTCAAAAGATATCTTGTTACTTAGCACAAGAAGTTGATGAATCTAAATCCTTTGTAATGTTTTTACTGTGAGTATAATAATGGGATTTTACTTTTTATGAAAGAGTAGTTGCTATGGTAACAAAATAACAGTAGAAAAAAGGAAAAACTAAACAGACTTAAAAAAGAAACAAAACCACATTTATTTTCACTTTGACAAAAGCTGACCTTTTTTTTCTTAAATATTAAATATTAATTTGTTTCAGATTCGGGACTAGGATTTGGAGCTGGAATAGGTGTAGGTATTGTAATTATTTTAGGTACAGTTTTCCTGATCGTTGTGGTGGTATTGATAGTGAAGAAGTGTAGAGAGTAGGCTGAAACTACATAGAAACGGAAACGTGTTACTGAGCGTCATTATGGCCAAAAACAATTATAATTTTCTTAGAATTTGATTGATTCGTAATGTCAAACAGAATAAATTAATGGAAATTAAAGAGAAATATTTTATAACGTATCGGTATAAAACACTCGTTTTAACTAGTATCATAGGTCTCAAATGTTTAGGCGTTTAACTATGAAATTCACAGGAGCTACTTAACGTTAAACAAGTATGGTACTCATCTTGATAATTCAAACTCATTATTCACTATGTTTCTGATTAACGTGTTTTACACACCTTCCTTTTTGTTTGAACTGTAGTAAAGATTAAATGCGTGTTAGATTGACGAAGATATGTATGGCCTTGTTTAATATTTTTTTTGGTTTACCAAATTTGTTGCGTGCACTCAATTGTGTGTGCATTCCATATATTTTTAAACTTTCAAAATAGAGCGTCAGAATAATACGAATAAGACGTTCTCAATGGCATTGTCTGTCAATGAATCTCACAATAACCAAGTTCTATTAATACACACATCTTAAATAGATATAAAGTACTAGCACAACGACAAACCCCTTTAGAACCCCATCATAATAAGGTATGCTTTGTTTTGTATCCCAAAATCGGTATTCATATCTATTTGTAAAATGGTAATTGTTTGGATACACATAAAAAGGTTAACAGATAAAGCATTATGATTTGAATGAACCGAATTAAAAGTATGAACAGTAACGAACATTTTTCGTAGTAATCATTTTGATTAAAAACTAATTTTGTAGATTAATTTGCAGTTCATATTAGCTATCAATGACAATTAGTTTTATTTCATATCAAACTGATATATATCTTTAGATATGTGCTCTCTTAGATGTTTATCGTTTGCAAATAATAATATATTTTTATAGTTAGTTTACAATGAACCTAAACTACAACTTTAAGCCATAGGTACCCTTCACACCCACATAGCATTACAAAACAGTCATAAAGTATTTCAAATTAAACTGAAGGAGAAGCTGAACGGACAGAAGTTTTTAAATATTTTTAAAAATGGGGTACAGCTGAAATTAAAAAAAGGTTGCATCGACAATAGGCCCAGGAACATATACGACTGTAGTGTGTTGTGGTGACCGCATTAGTGGAAAAACTCAAAATTAGGATAATCAATATTTGAGGAGTTTTCTGGAAAATATTCCTTCCAAAGACAGGTAGACGGCCAGAAAGACAGACAACCTGATGTCAGGGTTTCCCATAACTTTGTAACAAGGTTGGGATTGCTATGGAGAAAAGTTGAATTAATTTTGCAATGTATGTTAAGTGGATCCGAAGCTTACTTTCTTGCATTTACAATGTATATACTCATATTTGTATCTTTGCAATTTTTTCTTTAAACCAGTAAGGTTATCATTGATTAAGCTTTTGTGTTGTGACGATTGTCAATTTTTATCAAGTATGTTTATTATTGCTGTCAGTCATATATTTATATTTTTATATCAGAAACATAATTATTGTATTTAGTTTCCTAACACTTAAAGTGATAATTTTAATGTTGTATATTTGTAGACTTTTAGTGTTAAGTTTATATTCATCCAACATTAATAAATTCATGTATTTTGATATTAATTTATACATAACATAAAGGCAACTTTTATTGATAACTATATGAAACACGTTAAGAATAATTAAAGCTTTTGATGTCGTAGAAAATAGAATCTTTTAACCTGAGGAAAAACCTTATACAGATTGGAGTTGAAATAATAGTGAACGACGAAAAATGGATCGAGTTTAGTCTTCTTTTAATAATGTATGAAATACTAAAATATCTTCGAAGTCAACGTAAGGTAATTTTTTACGAGTTATTAACCTAAAAATATGTTTGATTAACAGACTCTGTTTATTTTGAGTTAGAAATGTGAATATGTGTTTGTTAAGCGCCCACTGGAGTGTCAATGATATTTACTGAATGCCTCTTTCAGGTCACGATAGGTATGTGACAAGTATCTGCAATGTTATACTTTCGTGGATAAAAAATAGATGTCCTATCAAGTTACGTTTCTTATACCTCTTAGAAAGATGTACCAAAATAGTGTTTGTCAAATAAGCCCTACGTGTTTTTGAAAACGGATATGAATAGACGCAAACTTTCGTACGATCGCCTGTGAACCTGTTTGAAGAAGTGCGTTTTTCAATAATGCTTTAAATATTTACGGAATTTAATGATAAAACTATGTAAAACTATTTGACACACTTTCCTCATATGACAACTCTTCCTACCCGTTTGTTGCAGGGAGTAGTCTTTAAATGACTTCGGACAGGTGATGCGTATTAGACGTTATTGACAAACTAGATTTTTTGTTTATTTGTTAATATTTACATCATAATTGTTCTATTTGGTTTGTTAATGCTGCTTAGTGTTTAATGCATTATTTCTTTACTTTATATAGCTCAGATGCTTCGACTTAATACTTCTCTATACTAATGATGGAAGGCGTTTTAACCGTACTTTTATATCTTACTGTAATTTTACAAATGAAGTTATGCAGAGAGGATATTTAGTGAGAAACTTGACAAAACCGTCTTGTAATTTTCAACGTATTTTTTTCGTTTGACACGAAGTAATGCCAGATTTATCTACCCTTATACTAGACTAATACGATGTACGAAGTGATGGTTATGAATTTACAAGCACCTTTGCCAATTAATGTTTAATTGTTGCTTGATTAATCTTTAATTGGCCGAAAACGCGAGTAAATGTGTCCTCTAGTTTGTTAGTTACTTTCACTGTACCGATCACATGGACAGTGTTTATTAATTTATAAATCCATATGTGTAGGAGGCTATCTTAGTAAATGCTAATTTATATCTGTTTGAAACAAAAACGGTCAAATATTTGATACACCAAAATTAATGAACTTCAAACGACAGCTTGGAAGCTTAACAGGCACACTTGACTGTTGATACAGGAGTTGTACAGGAAAGTTAATTATAAAAATAAATAAACGAAAAAAGAAAAATGAAAATAATAAATGCAAACACAGTGTCACTAATATTAAATACATGTATCTCTAGGATCAACTAGAAATGAATAGACATTAGGAAATAAAAAAAACCGATTTTCAGACAGTTATTAGTAAAATATTATATAGAGTGTTTGTGTTATTTGTTGTATATGCGTTAGTGTTGTATTGTTAATGACAATGCAAGTGTTCTTAATCACGTTTCGCGGACCCTATGATTGGTACGGACAGCCTAACCTCTCAAGCATGTCCTTTACTCTACCAACGTTCCTCCTGACCTTCAAAGGTCTTAGTTATATATGTAAGTGACTTGTATTGGTAAGTTATTGCTTATTTGTAACAGGATTTATGATATAAATCAATTCAAATTCAAGTATCATCCATAGTATCTGAAGTACTTGTAGTTGTTGTTTCTTTTTATCCAAAAGTACATATGTATCATAACTTATGGGCGAAACTCAATTTGTTATATATTGTTGTAATGTCACGGTTTTATTATGTAGGTCAAACAAAAGTTTATTCTCCGATAGTTATGTAGAAGTGGATGCATAAGTTTAAAAGGGTAGAAATTGATGTAGAAATGTAAAAAAATAACATGACTTTCATGTGCAAATAACTGAATAAATGCAATCTACCTATGTATTTAGTTATTTGTATGTGTGATTTAACATCCCAGCGACATCTAAGATAACACAAGAAAAAGACAGTTAGGGAGAAAAAACCCGAAAAGAAAGAACGGGAAGGAAGGAAGCTGAGATAAACAACACAGAGATACCAAGTAATGCAAGAGCGGGAAGCGAAGCAGCTTTAGGACCCCATTTAATCTACTTTAACGACAAAAGCGTCACGGAGCCACTGAATCGACAAGTGTTGTAGTTGTTCTTCATTTTCAGATTGATTTACAATAAATGCCATAAATAGATTATCATCAACCTACAAAAGCAGGAAGAACTATGTTCGTTTTCCACATAACTTTATTATATATATATATATAACGGTTTGTGGTTAGATAAGGTTGGTTTTGTCCATGCGTTCTTTGTAAAATGTACAAATCGCTATGGTATCCAAATACCATTGCAATGATCGTAGCCTATTTTGATTCGCGTTTCGCATGAAAATGTTTCGTAGAACTTATTTCAATATCTTAGTTATACATCTTTATAATAAATCATCAGCCATCATAAAATGTGACCGTGATTTCAAATAAAACGTTTTTAATTATGATACAGGCTCGTATGATATACAATGTATGAACACATATTTGTGGTCGAGTAGTCTTTAAGGCAGATAGTATCATAACCGTCATACCACATTAATACAGTATACTAATAATCAACCTGTTATTTGGGTCTTAGCTTACATAAAAGTATCGGCGATTTGATAGTTCAGCGGCAGAACGCTTAGCAATGTACAGATATATACAATTCTATTGAAAACGTCGGTGAAATCCTAAGTGAGAACGCTGATAATTTTGATATTTAGCTTTAACTAATGAAAAGAGAAACCAAATCAACTGAAAACGACAATTAGGTGGGCTTTGGATGCATGGAAACGAACGAAACCGAAAATTAAAAGATGAAGAGAAAAAAATCAAAACATTCTTGTAAATAATCCTAAATTTGATGTTCTTAACAATATAACATATACATGTATAATACACAAAACATTGTTCTACAAAATTAAAAGCTCATTGTGAGAGAGTTTAGAGGTGCAGGCTTAAATAGAAGACACAAATATTACTACTTTAAGTAAGTGAAAGAGATTATAAAGATGTAGGCTAAAACGTAAACACGAATAATACTAAGCTACCGATTTCGAAGGTAAACATGATAGTTTTTTTTTATCGTTGCATGCATTTCTATGTAAATCATTTGAATTTTGTTTTGCCCTTAAATGTTGTATACGACATCTTATCTGCCTTGTTCGGCTTTGCTGAGAAAAAGTAGTTGAAATCTGCTTTACATACTTCTTACTAAGTATGACACTAATGCATCAGGCGGTGACGTTCTCTAATAGATTTACACACGACTGTTAGTGTATAGTTAATGTAGCATGATCTAACACAACAGAAGATTCATAAACAGTTCACAGATATATCAGGTCAGTGACCCATAAGTTTGCACAGCTGCACACATCCGTCAATTCCACGAAATAAAAATGCTTTGGAAAAGATAGCGGACAGCGTTCCACATTACGGACCCAAGCGAGGCATTGATATTGATAACACTCATTTACATAACAAGGTAGACTGATGGGTAGATGTACACCTCGATACAGGTAGGCGATAGATATCCAGTAACATTTACAGCTCGTCTGGCAGGAACAATATTAACGGTGAGTGTTCGTATTTTCATTTTTTTTTTAAATAACCATATAATTTATTTTATGCTAAACTATGCACACACATGTAAACACTGCTATTATATGACAGGCACCTGTTTAAATGGTAGAATTAGAAGCTGTAGTGTAGACGTGGTATTCCATCAGTAGATCTGTATCAAGTGCGCTGGTAATATTTGGTTGTGGTATTAGGATAAGAAATAGTAAGTGCAAAGTGACAGTTACAATCTATGGTAAGAGATGATATGTAACTCTTTAATAATAATGAAATCTTGACCTTTAAAATCATATATTTTTGCATTACATCAATAAAACACAATATGCAGAAACGATTATATAATGGATTCTAGAACACAACCGCATTATTTATTAGTAAGCAGTTAAAGTATAGTTTGAGATAGATGGGTATGTAGACGCTCGCGTAGTTATGCTGAAAATTTATTTAAATATATATAATTTGGTTGTCAGTGCGTCCATAGGCGGACAACTGTTAAGCAGTTTTTCTAGGCATATGTTATGCAAGTTTTATTTGGGAACTAAATTTTAAATTAATGATAAACAAAATAAAACAGAAATGATTTTTTATGCGTGAAATTATTTGTGAAATTCATATATTTTAATTCAAAGTCTTCTTGCAGAACAGAGTTGCACAGAATATTTATCATGATAAAGCTTGAATATGTATGCTTAATTAAGAGAGTATTAATGTAAAGGGCCGTAGCTTATGTGTTCCATACTCAGACGGTTCCTCATGTATATGATTTGTCTGGAAAAAACCCACGAAAAAACAATCCTATTTAGTTTCTCTCATACGCATGTTGTGAACAAGGTTACGTCGCATAGCTGCAGGATTATTCCTCAATTGAGGGACAGGCCTTTTCAATGCCTGTACGAACCCTGTTACATAATATATATATGTGTGATTTGGTGTAAATGCCCTAACTTGGGCATCGATATCAAATGGGAAAGAGATAACATGACTAGCAAGCAACCAATGACTAACACCACGGACTTAGATAGCAAATCTAATCTAATTCCGTGCTAGTACTACTTAAAAGTAAGATAGCAGGTCACACCAATACCAGGACCAGATTGTCAGGACCAGCATGTTTTTTCTTTTCATTTCTTAAAGTTATTGTGCATTTGAAAATTTTCTGTTATAAAATTTTAAAAGGACATTTAAATACTAATACATAAATAAGAAATAAACATTTCATTTTTTAATTTAATGACCCAAATCCTGCCAGGACTAAAAAAATCATTACTAACACCAGGACAGGGAAAACCGGGACCAAATATTTACTTTAAGCATTATTAACTCAATTTTAAAGCTAATTTCATGTAGGAAATACAAGAACACCATACTAAATGTATCAATAAAAAAGGATATGTTTCAAATACTGTTTTTACTTGTTATTACGGCTTTTGTGATTTTGCTTTTTTTTTTAAACTAAAATCAGGACTGGTAATTTCAGGACCGCTATGTTTGGTATGTTTTGGATTTCTGTTTTAAATCATAATGCAATGTATATTTTTGATATAGACTTGTGCTAAAATACATTTTTATTCATGTCATATCAATTCATTAAGGTAGTTGCATTAAAAATCATGACAGAAACACATTAAAGCACTTAGTCCTGGTTTTCCGTCTGTTTCTGGTATTTGTTTGACCCTGAAATGCCAATTCGGAGCTCTCTAATTTTATCAATTTCCGGTCATAACCAAACAGCAGCGCCGCCGTGCGTGGAATAGCACAACAATGTCCAACAATCCTGTATGATCCTTCGGGTCTCTCTGACTTTATCCATCACGAATGGTGACATCACAGACAGCAGGTAACCGATCACTGCGTGTAATGTATGTTAGCGAGTAAATCAAAATAGACAGACTATTTATATCCATGTGGAATCCTCTCAAAATGGCTGGTACAGCTACCAATTCTAAAGCTACCATCCTGGGATGGTAGCAATACACGATTAATTCAGCTCGTTTCAGACTGTATTTAGCCAATGGGCGAAGCCCAAAATCTATAGACGATTAAAGCATGTTTTGTTTCTACAAGGAAATTTTAGGAAATCTACTCATAGTTTGGTTAAAGTGTTTACGTGGGACGATTTGTTCTATGACCAACTTGATCCTTTGTTGGGTACACTAGGAACCTATGATTTGTACATTCTAAAGCAAGATGTATTTTGGATTTAATACTTTCTGATATATTCTCTTTAGAGTATAAACGCATTTTCCTGTGGAAGGATAACAAGTAAAACTAACAAGGCCATGCTCTACTGTACCGTGAGGTGGTTTGTTCTGTCATTTCATCTTATTTTATTGAGTAAACAATAGGATTGAACAGCAGGCTAGGCCTATATAAGTTCTCTCCTTTGGTTGACATGACAAAGACAAAGATGAATGAAATGGTTTGTAAGAACATATTGATGCAAATCATATATAATAGGTAGCATAGACATATATATATATATAGCAGATGGTATAGGGGAGATAATTCCATGTATGTTTCAATTACATATAAATATTTAATTGATATTTTTAGCTATACAATGCTCATATTAAAAAGTCAATCATAATTAATTAGTAATAGGAAAGCAATGCCCTAATGATATATTAAACAGAGAAATTGCTACAGTTGTTTTTTTTGTTTTTTGTTTTGCAAGTCATTAGTGCCCCCTGTTCATACCCTGCTGCTGTTGCATGAAGTAGTTAGAAGTATAGAACCATTTAGTATCAATATATATATCATTGGTAGGAGTGATAAAAAGTAAGGGATACAACAACATCAAAATATGAAAAAATAAAATGAGGCAATTCAGCTAGAAGATTTTGATAATGTAGTATATGTGTAAGATGTATTGCTAGTGTTCTATGTGTAAATCTTTCATCCCATCGAGTTTCAGACAAAAAGTCTCTAACGGCCTCTACCGTTCTGTCATCGACTGGACATGGATAAAAATTGGAGTAAATCCATGTAAAACTGGATTGTTATGAAATTATGTCAATTTAATGTAGTGATGGTTTTACCTGAGTGTATAACCTGTGTGGATAAAGTAAAGTAGAATTTCCGGAGCAGCCCCGTATATGAGAGTCTGGAACCTGGAACATGTTAGGAATATGTTGGGCTTCAAACACGAAAGATAGGAAAAAAACCCATTCGAAACACCATCTATATAATTGCATACCTGTTAATGGCATGTATTTAGCTGCATTTATTATTTTGCACAGATTTATGGAAACTACAACATGAACTAAAGTAAATAACAAACAGACTCATTGTTACATTGACCACGTTTGGTGTGTGATGATACTGTATGATAAGTTGAACAAACTTCTACTAGAGATAGGGGCTATCACTCGAATCATGATCAGCGTTACATTTATTTTGATGATGAATATTGTTACAACATTAGTTTCATTACCATATCGAATGCCAATTGAACTTCTTGACATGTTTGTACAAATTGTTTACTAAGGTAATATAACATTAAAAGCTTTCATCAGTCTAAAGGCTATGTACCTTGTTTTAACCACGCACAGCACCAATGTACATGTCACCTCTGTAGAACAGGTGCCAATGAAAACAATTTCATACTGGTTGATATTATTTCTTATTTTGCCATATGAACCATGGTGATATACATATTGCCTTTTGGTTTATCTTTTGCTTTGTTGTTACAAGTGCAAAGGAATGGTATATCATATTGATCGATGTTAAATATCAGAGTGACCTTTGCGACCTTCAGGCGACCTTCATATTTACCTTTTATTAGTTTAGCATAAGCAAATCAAACGTTTTCATACTAATTGATTTAAGTTAGTAAATTGATCTATACCTTTTGGTAACCTATATATTGACCTTCTGTATCTCTATTGAAATAAAACTATAAAACTAACGACACGCAAAATCAATCACAAAAAAACAACAACACATTGATATAAAAAACTCTCTACACACTTAGGGAAAACGTCTACCAATTGCTGCTAAGATGTAATCTGTCACATCCAGGAGAGATTTTCAGTAAGCAAAGATCCGATTAAAGCTTTGTCTTTAAAACACTCAGAATGTTTATAAACTGGCAATGCATCTTCAATAGGATTTCTTTTTTCCTATGTCAAAATATTTCAATGACCTTTAATTCAGTCTTAAACATACATTTTATCTTCTGATATTTTTTTATCTTGCATACAACACATCGCTTTTTACTTTTCTTCTATATCATTTTCGTACAACACTATTCACCATAAACTGTCGTTCTTGAAAAAACTAACCTAAGAGTACTATTCTTTTTTACAGATGCGTAAAAAAACCTTCCTGCTTACTGCGTGTGTTCTAAAAATAACCTTGTCCTTCGTCCTGGGACAGGATGGAGGTTTGTGGGACGTGGTTCAAACAAGAGAAAATCCATGTCGCGATACAACATGTGGGGAGAAACAGGATGTGTGTGAATGCTACCTGATAGTTGAACACCGGCTCACCATGATGATAGAAGAAGAAGGAACTCTAGTGGTGCCTAAAGGAGGTCAGCTTTATGATTATGACAAACCAGGGAGTCCTATAATAAAAGCTGAACAGATACCGTATATCTTGACGGCGGATGGTAACAACTCTCGATTGGTAATTACCGTAAATCGGCGATTCCCTGGTCCACAGATCACGGCGTACGAGGACCAGACTTTGATTATCCACGTCCGTAACCTGATGCACACAGATAGTACTACGGTACACTGGCATGGTATGCATCAACAAGGATCCACGTTTGCAGACGGCGTTGCTATGGTGTCTCAATGTCCCATAGGGCACGGTCAGGAATTTACCTACAAATTCAAGGCCAAACCGCACGGCACCAGCTTCTACCACGCCCATATTGGTGATCAGAGGACTATGGGGTTGTATGGAGCTCTAGTCGTGTACCCTAAACAGGAGCTCCCCTCAGCAACAAGACAGGAACATGTTGTCACTTTGCAGGACTGGAACCACGAGGATGATGCAGCAACGTTATATCAACGTATGTTATATGGAATATACGACCAGGCGAGAAAAACACCATACAAGACAACGTCCTCCCGGGACGGTGCTATGTACAGCAGGTACAGGTTCCATTCCGGACTGGTGAACGGTAAAGGACGTTACTACACGTCACCTAATGTACATAACCAGGCTCCTCTGACTGAGTTCGATGTGGCCCCAAACAGGAACTACACGTTCCGAGTCATCAGTGCAGCCACCCTCTATCCCTTCCGTGTGTACGTGGAAGGGCATCCGACAATAACTGTCGTTGCTTCTGATGGATTTGCATTGAAACCAATGGTTGTTGAATCGTTCATCATTAATCCAGGAGAAAGATATGATTTCATACTGTTTACAGACAAGCCTAAAGATAACTATTTACTGGTTGCACAAACACTGGAGGTAGAACGTGAGATTACAAGACGTGGTGAATACCACGTGGCGGAGGCTATCATCCATTACGTCGGTAGAGCCAGAAACCTAAACCTTGCAAAGAGCGGCAAAAATATGTGTACAGCGTCAAAGAAATGTGTGATATTCAATTGTCCTTATCTTCTTCCTACATGTGTAAATGAAATCTGTAAGACTTTCAATGACGCGAGAACAGATGATTTTAACTCCCGGCCACAAGATGTCAGGAATATCGATAACGAGCATTTTTTCAATTTTGCCTTCCCTGGACCTGGTGGCTTTATGGAAGGGTCGGTGAATGGTCGCCAATTCGTGCCTCCTGTTTCTCCGGTTTACTCACAACCCGAAGATATCGATACTCAGTGCGATGTGAACTGTGAAGACCGGACGTGCCGATGCACGTACACTCAAGAAATAGAATCCGGAAAAGTGTACCAGTTTACACTGACTAACCTTGGTAATGGGAAAGGATGGTCACATCCGGTACATTTACATGGACATTCATTTTACGTCATGAAGATGGGTTTTGGACAGTACAATCCTGGTGGTAATTTGACTGATTCAACAGCGGATATATCATGTACACGTGGGTCGAAGGGTTACTGTAACTCTCCGATATGGGCTGACGAGACTTGGAATGGAGGAAACGTACCAGACCTAGTTTTAAACGATACCGCACAAAAAGACACCATCCTCGTCCCTACGGATGGTTACGTCGTCATCAGATTCAAGGCAGACAACCCTGGTGCTTGGTTCTTCCATTGTCACATCGACCTCCACAACACAAACGGTATGGGGATGGTAATTATTGAAACTCCAGAGAAATATCCTGACGTCCCGAAAAACTTTCCAGTCTGCGGAGTCTTCAAAGAGGAGGAAAATGACAGCGAGGGTATGTCTGACCAATGATTATATTTTTCAAAAGATATTTTGTTACTTAGCACAAGAAGTTGTTGAATCTAAATCCTTTGTAATGTTTTTATTGTGAGTATAATATTGGGATTTTATTTTTTATGAAAGAGCAGTTGCTATGGTAACAAAATAACAGTAGAAAAAAGGAAAAACTAAACAGACGTGAAAAAGAAAAAAAGAAACAAAACCACATTTATTTTCACTTTGACAAAAGCTGACCTATCGAACAAGCATTTTTTTCTTAAATATTAAATATTAATTTGTTTCAGATTCGGGACTAGGATTTGGAGCTGGAATAGGTGTAGGTATTGCAATTATTTTAGGAGTCGGTTTCCTGATCGTTGTGGTGGTATTGATAGTGGAGAAGTGTAGAGATTAGGCTGAAACTACATAGAAACGGAAACGTGTTACTGAGCGTCAATATGGCAAAAACAAATAGAATTTTCTTAGAACTTGATTGATTCGTAATGTCAAACAGAATAAATTAATGGAAATTAAAGAGAAATATTTTATAACGTATCGGTATAAAACACTCGTTTTAACTTGTATCATAGGACTCAAATGTTTAGGCGTTTAATTATGAAATTCACAGGAGCTACTTAACGTTAAACAGGTATGGTACTCACCTTGATAATTCCAACTCATTATTCACTATGTTTCTGATTAACGGGTTTTATACACCTTCCTTTCTGTTTGAACTGTAGTAAAGATTAAATGCGTGTTAGATTGACGAACATATGTATGTCATTGTGTAATCTTTGTTTTGGCTTACCAAATTTGTTGGGTGCACTCACATGTGTGTGCATTCCATATATTTTTAAACTTTCAAAATAGAGCGTCAGAATAATACGAATAAGACGTTCTCAATGGCATTGTCTGTCAATGAATCGCACAATCACAAAGTTATATTAATACACACATCTTAAATAGTATAAAGTTCCAGCACAACGACAAACCCCTTTAGAACCCCATCATAATGAGGTATGCTTTGTTTTGTATCCCACAATCGTTTAATCATATCTATTTGTAAAATGGTAATTGTTTGGATACATATAAAAAGGTTAACAGATGAAGCATTATGATTTGAATGAACTGAATTAAAAGTATGAACCGTGACGAACATTTTCCGTAGTAATCATTTTGATTAAAAACTAATTTTGTAGATTAATTTGCAGTTCATATTAGCTATCAATGACAATTAGTTTTATTTCATATCAAACTGATATATATCTTTAGATATGTGCTCTCTTAGATGTTTATCGTTTGCAAATGATAATATATTTTTATAGTTAGTTTACAATGAACCTTAACTACAACTTTAAGCCATAGGTACCCTTCACGCCCACATAGCATTACAAAACAGTCATAAAGTATTTCAAATTAAACTGAAGGAGAAGCTGAACGGACAGAAGTGGCAAAATATTTTTAAAAATGGGGTACAGCTGAAATTAAAAAAGGTTGCATCGACAATAGGCCCAGGAACATATACAACTCTAGTGTGTTGTGGTGACGGCATTAGTGGAAAAGCTCAAAATTAGGATAATCAATATTTGAGGAGTTTTCTGGAAAATATTCCTTCCAAAGACAGGTAGACGGCCAGAAAGACAGACAACCTGATGTCAGGGTTTCCCATAACTTTGTAACAAGGTTGGGATTGATATCGAGAAAAGTTGAATAATAAGTATGTTTTCTGATTAATTTTGCAATGTATGTGAAGTGGATCCGAAGCTTACTTTCTTGCATTTACAATGTAGATACTCATATAAGTATCTTTGCAATTTTTTCATCAAACCAGTAAGGTTATCATTGATTAAGCTTTTGTTTTGTGACGATTGTCAATTTTTATCAAGTATGTTTATTATTGCTGTCAGTCATATATTTATATTTTTATATCAGAAACATAATTATTGTATTTAGTTTCCTAACCCTTACAGTGAAAATTTTTATGTTGTATATTTGTAAACTTTTAGTGTTAAGTTTATATTCATCCAACATTTATAAATTCATGTATTTTGATATTAATTTATACATAACATAAAGGCAACTTTTATTGATAACTATATGAAACACGTTTAAAATAATTAAAGCTTTTGATGTCGTAGAAAATAGAATCTTTTAACCTGAGGACAAACCTTATACAGATTGGAGTTGAAAATAATAGTGAACGACGAAAAATGGATCGAGCTCAGTCTTGTTTTGATAATGTATGAAATACTAAAATATCTTCGAAGTCAACGTAAGGTAATATTTTACGATAAGCATGCAAGATGCTTCAGAGATAATAACCTAAAAATAAGTTTGATTAACAGACTGTTTATTTTAAATTGAGTTAGAAATATGAATATATGTTTGTTAAGCGCCCACTGGAGTGTTACGTATCATATACCTCTTAGAAAGAGGTACCAAAATAGTGTTTGTCAAATAAGCCCTACGTGTTTTTGAAAACGATATGAATAGACGCAAACTTTCGTACGATCGCCTGTGAACCTGTTTGAAGAAGTGCGTTTTTCAATATTGCTTTAAATATTTGCGGAATTTAATGATAAAACGATGTAAAACTATTTGGCACACTTTCCTCATATGACAACTCTTCCTACCCGTTTGTTGCAGAGAGTAAGTCTTTAAATGCCTTCGGACACGTGATGCGTATTAGACGTTATTGACAAACTAGATTTTTCTTTTATTTGTTAATATTTACATCATAATTGTTCTATTTGGTTTGTTAATGCTGCTTAGTGTTTAATGTATCATTTTCTTTTACTTTATATAGCTCAGATGCTTCGACTTAATACCTCTTTATACTAATGATGGAAGGCGTTTTAACCGTACTTTTATATCTTACTGTTATTTTACAAATGATGTTATGCAGAAAGGTTATTTAGTGAAAAACTTGACAAAACCGTCTTGTAATTTTCAACATATTTTTTCGTTTGACACGAAGTAATGCCAGATTTATCTACCCTTATACTAGATTAATACGATGTACGAAGTGATGATTATGAATTTACAAGCACCTTTGCCAATTAATGTTTAATTGTTGCTTGATTAATCTTTAATTGGCCGAAAGCGCGAGTAAATGTGTCCTCTAGTTTGTTAGTCACTTTCACTGTACCGATCACATGGACAGTGTTTATTAATTTATATATCTATATGTAAAGGAGGCTATCTTAGTAAATGCTAATTTATATCTATTTGAAACAAAAACGTTCAAATATTTTATACACGAAAAAAACAATAAGAAACTTCAAACGACAGCTTGGAAGCTTAAGAGGCACACTTGACTGTTGATACAGGAGTTGTACAGGAAAGTTAATTATATCAATTAATAAATGAAAAAAGGAAAAAGGAAAATAATAAATGCAAACACAGTGTCACTAACATTAAATACATGTATCTCTAGGATCAACTTAGAAATGATTAGACATTAGGAAATAAAAAAGTCGATTTTCAGACAGTTATTAGTAAAATATTATATAGAGTGTTTGTGTTATTTGTTGTATATGCGTTAGTGTTGTATTGTAAATGACAATGAAAGTGTTCTTAATCACGTTTCACAGACCCTATGATTGGTACGGACAGGCTAACCTCTCAAGCATGTCCTTTACTCTACCAACGTTCCTCCTGACCTTCAAAGGTCTTAGTTATATATGTAAGTGACTTGTATTGGTAAGTTATTGCTTATTTTTAACAGGATTTATGATATAAATCAATTCAAATTCAAGTATCATCCATAGTATCTGAAGTACTTGTAGTTGTTGTTTCTTTTTATCCAAAAGTACATATGTATCATAACTTATGGGCGAAACTCAATTTGTTATATATTGTTGTAATGTCACGGTTTTATTATGTAGGTCAAACAAAAGTTTATTCTCCGATAGTTTTGTAGAAGTGGATGTATAAGTTTAAAAGGGTAGAAATTGATGTAGAAATGTAAAAAAATAACATGACTTTCATGTGCAAATAACTGAATAAATGCAATGTACCTATGTATTTAGTTATTTGTATGTGTGATTTAACATCCCAGCGACATCTAAGATAACACAAGAAAAAGACAGGCAGGGAGAAAAAACACGAAAAGAAAGAAAGGGAAGGAAGGAAGCTGAGATAAACAACACAGAGATACCAAGTAATGCAAGAGTGGGAAGCGAAGCAGCTTTAGGACCCCATTTAATCTACTTTAACGACAAAAGCGTCACGGAGCCACTGAATCGACAAGTGTTGTAGTTGCTCTTCATTTTCAGATTGATTTACAATAAATGCCATAAATAGATTATCATCAACCTACAAAAGCAGGCAGAACAATGTTCGTTTTCCACATAACTTTATTTTATATATATATATAACGGTTTGTGGTTAGATAAGGTTGGTTTTGTGGAGGTTTTTCACGTACTGCGGTCGTGCTTTAATAAATAGGACCGTTATGACTATCATTGTGGTTACACGCATTGTGAACTAACGCTCATAATCAATTTGCTGAGTAAGCAATTAAACACAAATTAATTCCCGTATATTTGATCATATCTACTCAAAGACATAAAACTCTGTATTGTTGAATAGGTACATGTGAGATATATGTGTAACTTTAGGTAGACACATGCGAGTCCCTACACACGTAACCTGCGTAATTATCTAATGGTTTGATAGTTCGTTACGCCTCGTAATTGTCAATACCTCGCGGTCCTTTTAACAGAGGTCATAGTAATCCTCTATATTGGGTTTAGAGTTTGTGGATATCGTGCTACAATAAAACAAAGTACCAAACAGATAATCCAACATTCTACAGGTAAATCGTTCAGTGTAAGGTTAGTTGCAGATATATATATGACATGGACATGTTTGGAACAGATTGAGTTATATAATCCATGCGTTCTTTGTAAAATGTACAAATCGCTATGGTATCCAAATACCATTGCAATGATCGTAGCCTATTTTGATTCGCTTTTCGCATGAAAATGTTTCGTAGAACTTATTTCAATATCTTAGTTATAATAAATCAACAGCCATCATAAAGTGTGACCGTGCTTTCAAATAAAACATTTTTAAGTATGATTTACAATGTATGAACACATATTTGTGGTCGAGTAGTCTTTAAAGCAGATAGTATCATAACCGTCATACCACATTAATACAGTATACTAATAATCAACCTGTTATTTGGAAGCGGAGCTTGTCGGTCTTGCATTGTATCTCAAAATGGTCTTAGCTTACATAAAAGTATCGGCGGTTTGATAGTTCAGCGGCAGAACGCTTAGAAGTGTACAGATATATACCATTCTATTGAAAACGTCGGTGAAATCCTAAGTGAGAGCGCTGATAATTCCGATATTTAGCTTTAACTAATGAAAAGAGAAACCAAGTCAACCGAAAACGACAATTAGGTGGGCTTTGGATGCATGGAAACAAAAGAAAGCGAAAATTAAAAGATGGAGAGAATAAAATCAAAACATTCTTGTAAATATTCCTGAATTTTGTGTTCTTTATCAAATAACATATAAATGTATAATACACAAAACATTGTTTTCGAGGTGTAGGCTTAAATAGAAGACACAAATACTACTACTTTAGGTACGTGAAAGAGGTTATAGAGATGTAGGCTGAAACGTAAACACGAATAATACTAAGCTACCGATTTCGAAGGTAAACATGTTGTTTTTTTGTCGTTGCATGCATTTCTATGTAAATCAGTTGAATTTTGTTTTGCCCTTAAATGGTGTATATGACATATGGCTTTGTTGAGAAAAAGTAGTTGAAAGCTGTTTTACATACTTCTTACTAAGTATGACACTAATACATCAGGCGGTGACGTTCTCGAATAGATTTACACACGACTGTTAGTGTATAGTTAATGTAGCATGATCTAAGACAACAGAAGATTCATAAACAGTTCACAGAAATATCAGGTCATTGACCCAAATCTGCGAGTAAGTTTGCACAGCTGCACACATCCGTCAATTCCACGAAATCAAATACTTTGGAAAAGATAGCGGCCAGAATTTCACATTACGGTACCCAAGCGAGGCATTGATATTGACAACGCTCATTTACATAACAAGGCAGATTGATGGGTAGATGTACACCTCGATACAGGTAGGCGATAGATATCCAGTATCACTTACACTAGTCTGGTACGACCAATAATAACGGTGAGTGTTCGTATTTTCATTATTATTTTTAAAATAACCATATAATTTATTTATGCCAAATTATGCACACACCTGGTATCAATGCTGTTGTTATATGACGGGCACACGTTTAAGTGTTACAGTTAGAAGCTGTAGTGTAGACGTGGTATTCCAGAAGTAGATCTGTATCAAGTGGGCTGGAAATATTTGGTTGTGGTATTTACTATTTAGGATAAGAAATATTAAGTGCAAGGATACAGTTACAATCTATGGTAAGAGATGATATGTAACTCTTTAAAAATAATGAAATTTACCTTTAAAATCATAGATTTTTGCATTATATCAATAAAACACGATATGCAGAATCGATTATATAATGGATTCTAGAACACGACCGCATTATTTATTAGTAAGCAGTTATTTTTTTTAATTTACTTTTTATTCATTTTCAATTTTTTTACATGACATGATACAACACATATGGTACATGATTGTTAAGCTGTTAAAACTTCTTAAGAGTTGTTGTTATTTTTTTTTTTTATTAATTCACTATGAACACATACTTGTCAAGCATGTACCTATATACAGAGACAAAAATAATTCGCACACAGACACACATACACTTACAGTTAAACACTCACACAAATTGATGTATAAATAAATTATTAATAAATAAATGGTATTTGTGACATTAGGTATACAGACAAAAATAAAATGCACACAAAAGACAAAGGACAAGACATGTGGGACAAAACAAGGACAAGGGAAACCTAGGTCATAAAGATGTTAANACATTCTTGTAAATATTCCTGAATTTTGTGTTCTTTATCAAATAACATATAAATGTATAATACACAAAACATTGTTTTCGAGGTGTAGGCTTAAATAGAAGACACAAATACTACTACTTTAGGTACGTGAAAGAGGTTATAGAGATGTAGGCTGAAACGTAAACACGAATAATACTAAGCTACCGATTTCGAAGGTAAACATGTTGTTTTTTTGTCGTTGCATGCATTTCTATGTAAATCAGTTGAATTTTGTTTTGCCCTTAAATGGTGTATATGACATATGGCTTTGTTGAGAAAAAGTAGTTGAAAGCTGTTTTACATACTTCTTACTAAGTATGACACTAATACATCAGGCGGTGACGTTCTCGAATAGATTTACACACGACTGTTAGTGTATAGTTAATGTAGCATGATCTAAGACAACAGAAGATTCATAAACAGTTCACAGAAATATCAGGTCATTGACCCAAATCTGCGAGTAAGTTTGCACAGCTGCACACATCCGTCAATTCCACGAAATCAAATACTTTGGAAAAGATAGCGGCCAGAATTTCACATTACGGTACCCAAGCGAGGCATTGATATTGACAACGCTCATTTACATAACAAGGCAGATTGATGGGTAGATGTACACCTCGATACAGGTAGGCGATAGATATCCAGTATCACTTACACTAGTCTGGTACGACCAATAATAACGGTGAGTGTTCGTATTTTCATTATTATTTTTAAAATAACCATATAATTTATTTATGCCAAATTATGCACACACCTGGTATCAATGCTGTTGTTATATGACGGGCACACGTTTAAGTGTTACAGTTAGAAGCTGTAGTGTAGACGTGGTATTCCAGAAGTAGATCTGTATCAAGTGGGCTGGAAATATTTGGTTGTGGTATTTACTATTTAGGATAAGAAATATTAAGTGCAAGGATACAGTTACAATCTATGGTAAGAGATGATATGTAACTCTTTAAAAATAATGAAATTTACCTTTAAAATCATAGATTTTTGCATTATATCAATAAAACACGATATGCAGAATCGATTATATAATGGATTCTAGAACACGACCGCATTATTTATTAGTAAGCAGTTATTTTTTTTAATTTACTTTTTATTCATTTTCAATTTTTTTACATGACATGATACAACACATATGGTACATGATTGTTAAGCTGTTAAAACTTCTTAAGAGTTGTTGTTATTTTTTTTTTTTATTAATTCACTATGAACACATACTTGTCAAGCATGTACCTATATACAGAGACAAAAATAATTCGCACACAGACACACATACACTTACAGTTAAACACTCACACAAATTGATGTATAAATAAATTATTAATAAATAAATGGTATTTGTGACATTAGGTATACAGACAAAAATAAAATGCACACAAAAGACAAAGGACAAGACATGTGGGACAAAACAAGGACAAGGGAAACCTAGGTCATAAAGATGTTAAATTAATTTCTTTTAATTTTTAAATTTGCAACCAGTGAAGTATTTGTGTATTAATCTGTATTTTATTTTTAATATTACTTTTAGATATTAGGATTTTGTGAGCTTTTAATTCGAATTTGATATGATTTTTTAGACCATTCAGATTGAGTTCTATTTCAAGGCATTTTGGTTTATATATGTATTGTTTTACCGTGAGTAATATCAAGTTATCCAAGTTGAACTTTGTATATTTATTAATTTGCTTGCCAAAGATAAATTCTTTTTTTTATTAAATCGAAGACCAAGATTTTTAGCAATAATCGTAATTCTTATATTTTCTATCAAATTAGATACCTTTTCGCAATCCCATTATATATGTGTTATTGTTTCTGGATGAGTTTTACAAAAAATGCACATATAATTATCTAATTTACCAATTTGAAATAAAAAATTGTTTGTGGTTAGGATTCTATGATTTATTCTGAATTGTAACCATTGTAGTTTGGAACTGGTACAGGTATTGAAAGGATATTTGTATATATTCTTCCATGTTTCTTCATCAATATTGAAATTTTGATTCCATTTATTTTGGGCGGTGGGTTTAACTTAATTTTTGATTAATATGGTATATATTTCACGAGCCTCTTTTTTACATCTTAGGATTAACTTGAGATTTTNTCACCCACTTTGACACGCATCTGTCTGTGTTTTGATAATTTTTGTGATGAGCCAATAAGCATGCATTGGGTTTTTGTTAGATTTAGACTCATTTTATTATTGGTCATCCACTCACTTGCTAATTCAAGGTCAACTATTAACTTTTCTTCGACATCATCAACTGCATCACCTTTTACACCCTGTGATGTGTCGTCAGCGTACATTACAACTGATGAATGTTTCAAACATGTTGGATAGTCATTCATATGCAAGATAAAAAATAGTGGCCCAAGTATCGAACCCTGGGGGACACCGTTGTTTATTTCCTTACAACTTGATAAAGTACCTTTAAAGTTTACCGCTTGCATTCTACCGGAAAGGTATGATTCGAAAAAGTTCAAAGCTATATCAGAAACCCCGTAAGCATTAAGCTTATGCAAGAGCACTTTATAATTTACGGTATCAAATGCTTTACGAAGATCTTAAAACAAAACACCCGTGAATTTACCGTCATCAATATTTTTTGTCCACTCGTCTACTAAACCTGTTAGGGCCGTTTCTGTTGAACGTTGAGGTCTGAAACCATATTGGGATTCAGTAAGAAGTTCATTTTGCTAACCACAGAGAGGACAGAAATAGGTCGATAGTTATTTACAGAGGTTTATCAAATAACGATTCCACAACAATACCCCAATTTCCTAGTTAACTATATATCCTTCTGTTCCTAGTTGCTTTAAGAGCAATTATGAAAGATTTTAGATGTATCATTTTAAGCCCCCCTTCTTCATAGTTTTTTTTATTATCATATCCCTTTTTACCTGATCTGGTTTACCATTCCATAGAACATTGTACAATGTATTGTTAATTTGTTTAATATATAAGTCATCAGGATTGGGAAGCGATATAAACAAATGATTAAACTGAGATATTAGTAGAGTTTTGATAACACCTATTTTACCTATTGGTGTAAGTATTCTTTTGTTCCAGACGGATATTAAAGACTTTAGTTTTGCAAGTTTTTTTGTCAAAATTCAGTTTGATAATTCTGTGTAGGTCTACATCGTATTCTATGCCTAATAGGGTGAAGCAGTTATAGTAAAGTTTGAGATAGATGGGTATGTAGAAGCTCGCGTAGTTATGCTGAGAATTTATTTAAATATATATAAGTTGGTGGTCAGTGCGTCCACGGGCGGACAACTGTTAACCAGTTTTTCTAGGCATATGTTATGCAAGTTATATTTAGGAACCAAATTTTAAATTAATGATAAACTGGTTATTTACGACAAAAAAAAAACACATTTTTTTTTTAATGTGTGAAATTATGGTGAGATTCATATATTTTAAATCAAAGTATTCTTGCAGAACAGAGTTGCACAGAATATTTATCATGATAAATCTTGAATATGTATGCTTAATTAAGAGAGTATTAATGTAAAGGACGGTAGCTGATGTATTTCATACTCAGACGGTTCCTCATGTATATGATTTGTCTGTAATTAAAAAAACACCGAAAAGACAAACCTGTTAAGTGTCTCTCATACGATCTTACTTTTAAGTAGTACTAGCACGGAATTATATTAGATTTGCTATCTAAGTCCGTGGTACTAGTAATTGGTTGCTTGCTATTCATGTTATATCTTTCTCATTGGATATTGATGCCCCTGCTAGGGCATTTCCACTAAATCACATATATATATTATGTAACAGGGTTCGTACAGGCATTGAAAATTGAGGAATACTCCTGCAGCTATGCGACGTAACCTTGTTCACAACATGCACACTAATAACAGGACCAGATTGTCAGGACCAGCATGTTTTTTTTTTAATTTCTTAAAGTTATTGTGCAAAGGTAGGGTCAACGCCTATGGAGATTTAACATTTAGTTTTGTCCGGACAAGGATTTTTCAAAAAAAGGCTATAACTTTGAAGAAAAAAAGGTCAGAATGAAAAAATAATACCTGGATGCACAACTTCAGGTGTTAATTATCATATCTGGAAAATTCGTTGAAATTGGTCCACTACTTTAGAATGAGTTGACAGATAGACGGATAGACAAGCTGATTCCAGAATACCCCAGCTCGCCCCCACTCCCACCCCTAACGTCGTTGCGGGGGTATAATAAAGTGTATAATAGTTTTATTATTAAGATTATTTTATTATTTTTAGATAATTGCATAGCTTAGTCTATAACAAGATCTCAAACCTAAAGTAGTTCTCCAGAGGAAAGATTACTATGACAGTATATTTCTGCTGCACATTACCTTAAAACATGCCTAATATAATAAAGTGTTTTAGTATGATACACAAACAAACAAATGTATCGGTATTTATCATAATAAACATTGATAGTCAAATCTTCAAGGTTATGTGAAATTGGACATTGATCAATAAGCTTTTCTTCTCTTGATGACTCGGCATGCATGGCCTGGACAGGTTGGTCCAAAGATCAGTTCCTCGAAATCCACTCGCACTGTTCCCCATATCTTTCATCTCGTATATATACCAAGACTACACACGATGCTCTATTACTGTTCTGGGTAAAACTGAAAACCGACATTTCCTGGAGTCAGTGTTCTTCTCTTTTTGGAATTTCCAAGTCAAGTGTGTCCAAAACTTTCCACTCCATAGTACAGGCATTAGACACATCGATAGTCCCACAATTTCTAGGTCCGGATCACTTGACAAGAGAACAGTTGCTCGGGCACAATACTGTCTTTTCAGAAGCATTTTTTGGAGATAAAGCCACTGCCATATTAGATGGCACCTATATTTATATCCAGAAAAGCTCCGACCACAAGCTCCAGAGAATGTCCTACTGTGGCCAGAAGAAGAGAAACTATCTCAAATTCATGAGCATCGCCTTACCAGATGGCTACATTCTGGACACAGTAGGACCATTCACTGGCAGCGAAAATGATGCTACAATTACAAAAAAAGTCATGGACAAGCTAGTTACTTGGCTACAACCAGACGACAACGTTGTCGTTGACCGAGGTTTTAGAGATGTCCTACCAGTTCTCGAAGCCTCTGGCCTCAATGCTAGCATGCCGTCATACCTGAAACCCGGTCAAAGTCAACATTCTGACGTCCAAGCAAATCTTGACAGAACTATCACCAAATCGAGGTGGATTGTGGAATCCTATCATGGTCGTCTGAAACACTGGACGTTCTTCCGAACGCAATTGGTGTCTAACAGCTTTATCAATGTCATCGAGGCTTTGCTTCGAACCGTCACAGCCTGTCTGAATGGTATTAGAGGACCGATCTACCAGAGATCTCCAGAGAGAGATGCCAAAGATAGGCTAATGGCTGAACGTATGAAGGACCGTTTGACAACACCGAATGGTTTAGCTCAGAGAGTCAAGACAGATCCGGATCTATCTAGACGGGCAAGGTCCGAGTTTGTCAAGATGGATGCATCTTCCGTACTGTTTCCCCGTCTCGATCTTGATTACTTGAGAACCATTACGTGTGGAACGTATCAGATATCTCTGGCTCCTGGTTACATCGCCGAACATTTAAGTGATGACGGAGACTATGAGGTGTGGCTTTACCAGCACTCCCCAGACCTTCTCCGATGTCAAATACATTCTCGACACAAAAGCCAAACGAAATATAACGTTTGGATACGGTTCACCGTTTCACCCGATGTTGAGGCCCCAATAAAGGACTACTACTGCCAGTGCCCAGTTGGAGAGAGAACGATGGGAATGTGTGCGCACATCTCCAGTATCTTGTACTACCTTGGGTATTACAGGACGCTGGAAAACCCTCGACCATTACAACCACAGGTAAAGAAATTCCGACAAAACTTGAAATAGTTTTCCATGCGGCAACGGAGTGCATATGTCGAAAGTATGTTTGGGGCTCGATATGAAAGATCCCCGTTACCATGTGACTAACCAAACTTATAAATATAGGTATTATACAATCGCCCGTAGCTATGAACACTCCCGTAAATGCGAAAACCAACCAAAATCATAAGGAACACGTTTTGTTTGTTGTTCTGTCTATTTGTCAGCCAATGTCTTCAACCACGGGGACTTGTGAAGTAGCCATCTTGGATTTTTTTTATGAAAAAGTGTTTCTCTCACTTTTTTTCATATCTGTGTACATATTCTCAACATACCGAGCAAATACTCTCGTTTTTTTGTTAATTATCTAAAGAAAGTCGAAAATCGGCAATTCAACCATAGGCTAATTCAACCCAACATTTGAAAATGTTCCACCACTTACATTTTGATGATTTTTCCTCTCATCAATAGCATATTACGTACTGTTTAATAGGATAANTTTTTTGTCACAATCATGCCATGAATGTATTCTTTACGGTGACCATCATTTGATTAGATTTTCATTAATATTTTACATAACATGCACATTTTATCAACACTTAGACAGCTTCTGAAAGGTACAACTTTGAGGAGCCATAAAAAACAAACCAAGTGACCTAAATCTTTATACTTTATAGATTTGTGACCACAACGGCATGGGCAATGCACCACCAACAGGAAATTTGAATCAGAGAAGGGGCCGTTTTGGAAACCGGCCCTTTACACTAGGTTTTAGATGGTTTTATTTTGATCTAAAAACATTTAGACAATTACACCTTACTAAATTAATCGTATCGCTTATTCTACAAAACGAGAATACAACCGATTATTTTCTTTAAAAGATTTAGTTGTATCAAAATGTAGAAATATAGCAACACAAACTGTGATACAAAAATGTATTATCGTATGCCATCGACTCCAAGGCATTTCCCCTAACTATGGTAACAAAAGGCATTTCCCCTAACTATGGTAACAATCTGCTTTTGCAATATCCTCTGAACTAACCCATCATGCAATGATTCAGAAGTGTCGTTTTAAGTCACATGAACTTCATCACCTGCACAGTAAAATCATTGCCCTCCCAGTTAAACAGGAAAATCGTACTTAAAAATAAATAAATAGTAGTATTAATCTAAAGGAAATTAGTGACTCAACTCGATAAGAGATAATGTTACCTCCATTTTTTGATAACGATGCTATATTGTTAATTAACCATGTTAAATCAATTAAATAAAATGTATGTTTCAATGTTTTATTTTTCAGATGGAACAAACTTGTATTGTCTTTATTGTTTACATTCTGGCAATAACAGCGACACTGACTTTAGGCCAAAGCAGTGAAAATATATGGGACCAGGTTCGAACAAGAGAAAATCCATGTCGCGATACAACATGTGGGGAGAAACAGGATGTGTGTGAATGCTACCTGACAGTTGAACACCGGCTCACCATGATGATAGAAGAAGAAGGAACTCTAGTGGTGCCTAAAGGAGGTCAGCTTTATGAGTATGACAAACCAGGGAGTCCTATAATAAAATCTGAACAGATACCTTATATCTTGACGGCGGATGCTAACAACTCGCGATTGGTAATTGCCGTAAATCGGCGATTCCCTGGTCCACAGATCACGGCGTACGAGGACCAGACTTTGATTATCCACGTCCGTAACCTGATGGACACAGATAGTACTACGGTACACTGGCATGGTATGCATCAACAAGGATCCACGTATGCAGACGGCGTTGCTATGGTGTCTCAATGTCCCATAGGGCATGGTCAGGAATTTACCTACAAATTAAAGGCCAATCCGCACGGCACCAACTTCTACCACGCCCATATTGGTGATCAGAGGACTATGGGGTTGTATGGAGCTCTCGTTGTGTACCCTAAACAGGATTTCCCATCAGCAACAAAACAGGAACATGTTGTCACTTTGCAGGACTGGAACCACGACGATGATGCATCAACGTTATATCAACGTATGTTATATGGAATATACGACCAGGCGAGAAAAACACCATACAAGACAACGTCCTCCCGGGACGGTGCTATGTACAGCAGGTACAGGTTCCATTCCGGACTGGTGAACGATAAAGGACGTTACTACACGTCATCTAATGTACATAACCAGGCTCCTCTGACTGAATTCGATGTGGCCCCAAACAGGAACTACACGTTCCGAGTCATCAGTGGAAGGGCATCCGACAATAACTGTCGTTGCTTCTGATGGATTTGCTTTGAAACCAATGGTTGTGGAATCGTTCATCATCAATCTTGGAGAAAGATATGATTTCATACTGTCAACAAACAAGCTAAAAAATAACTTTTTATTAGTTGCACAAACACTGGAGGTAGAAAGTGAGATTACAAGACGTGGTGAATACCACGTGGCGGAGGCTATCATCCATTACATAGGTAGAGATAGAGACCTAAACCTTGCAAATAGCGGCAAAAATGAGTGTACCGCGTCAAAGAAATGTGTGATTTTCAATTGTCCTTATCGTCTTCCTACAGGCGTAAATGAAACCTGTAAGAATTTCAATGACGCGAGAACAGATGATTTCAATTCCCGGCCACTAGATGTCAGGAATATCGACAACGAGCTATACTTCAATTTTGCCTTCCCTGGACCTGGTGGCTTTATGGAAGGATCGGTGAATGGTCGCCAATTCGTGCCTCCTGTCGCCCCGTTATACTCACAACCCGAAGATATCGATACTCAGTGCGATGTAAACTGTGGAGACCGGACGTGCCGATGCACGTACACTCAAGAAATAGAATACGGAAAAGTTTACCAGTTTACACTGACTAACCTTGGTAATGGGAAAGGATGGTCACATCCGGTACATTTACATGGACATTCAATTTACGTCATGAAGATGGGTTTTGGACAGTATGATCCTAGTGGTATTTTGACTGATTCAACAGCGGATATATCATGTACACGTGGGTCGAAGGGTTACTGTAACTCTCCGATATGGGCTGACGAGACTTGGAATGGAGGAAACGTACCAGACCTAGTTCTAAACGATGCCGCACAGAAAGACACCATCCTCGTTCCTACTGATGGTTACGTCGTCATCAGATTCAAGGCAGACAACCCTGGTGCCTGGTTCTTCCATTGTCACATCGACTTCCACAACACAAACGGTATGGGAATGGTAATTATCGAATCTCCGGGAATGTATCCAGAGGTCCCGAAAGACTTTCCAGTTTGCGGGGACTTCGCAGATAATCAAGAAAATGGGAAAGACAGTGCAATAGGTATGTTATAGAGAACAGGATATGTATTTGTGACGTCTATGATACCATAAGTACAGTCCATTGTATTGTTAATTTCATAGATAGAATGGATTCGATTTTGTATTCAAGTTCATATAAAACGACCAATGAAATATGTATGTTTGACTTTTCTATGACTAGCACGATACCCTATCTTCATCAAAACTTGTAAAGGCTAAAAATATCGATGAGAGGTCAGTGAAATTGACGAGTCGATTCGGATGCTCTCGTATCATATGTACATTCAGTTATTGTAAATTTTCGAAACATAACACTGGATGTGCTATAGATATCTGCATACGATTTGTATTAACCAATCTGAGCAAGATATTCGAAACAGCCGTAATTAAATTCCACGAAGTCATCACCTGCCTTTGGTGAATGACTTATGCTGATAGTAACGCGGTAACTGCGACGACGTCACCCATACAAGGGTGTAACGGGATGAGCGAATTGCCGATTCTGATAAGAGCACGAACAAGTGGAACTACACTATATGCAACTTTATATAAAAATACATACAAGACAACGATTCACATAAACATAGCACCAAGTCAGAAGGCACATCTGTCCATTGTGACCACCACTCAAGACCTCCTCCATCACTGAATGTTCTCCTGTTATGAGCCAAAATCTGTCCCTGAAAAGTGTCTAGTGTATACACCTCTGCCATAAGATGTGTACCTGCCATGACCACAAGACCGCCATCAGCTCATAGAAACCATCAGTAAAAAATCAGAGCTACATGGTATATATATAAACTGGTTCATTGGTTTAGGGTACTGACCGCAAGTAATAATTTCGTTAGAAAATAAGGTTTTGATATCTGCGCTTGAAATAATTTAAAAAGGTTGTAAAATCTCGTTTCTATATGAATTTGTAATCGAAAACTATGGTTCCTAACTTGCTTTCTGAGGAATTTAAAACAACACGTACATTGATTGGCTATAATACAAAGATGGAAAATGATTGCTTATGACGAATGGTAAAGAAAGAAAAAGGACAACAGAATCCTGCGTGCGCTAATTTACCTATATGTGCGCACCAGCTCGTTTCAGAGAATATTATAAACGACAAACATCAATTGACACTGTAACAAAACGTAACGGAATCAATTTGAAAAGCTTTATTCAAAGAAAATGAGTACTATTTTCATATATATTTTATCACTAGAGTTGCCAAGCTTTGTTAATTGATTTTATGTAGAATTATTTTAGGAGTGCTGAAGCCCCATTAGATAAAGAGAATTATCAATCACACTTTTGTCTCTGATAACATAACGGTTTCCGGCACAGACGACAACAACAACAAACAACAAAAACAATTGTTAAAATAAGTTATTTTTGTTTTTAAAAATGTATGATAAAAAGGTTATGATATGAATATTTTGATACATGTATCACACCCTTTACCCTTTACAACTAACGTCTTAGATTAAGTTGATACTTTTTTTGTGGCGAAAACTATCGAAAAATTAACGAAATTAGACTTTTACTAGCAACAGTCAATATAATGTTTACATTCCTCTGACACGAATCTTAATATCGTTTATAATAGGATCATTTAATATTGAATATCTCACGTTCGCCGGTTGTAAGCAATGGAAATGTTTTAGATAGATTTTATCGTGGCAATGTTAGAAAAACAGGATTTTGAATTGGTAACATTTAATTTTCATAATTAAATATCAATAATAAAAATCGATATCACATAGGCAACGTATTTCACGTTTAATAAAGAAGTACCTTATACATCAAAGTTTGTTTTATCTAATAATCTGTTTCTGTTAATTTCAGGGCCGTTGCTGGAAGGCGTTTTAATCGGTATATTGATTGGTGCCGTTGTGTTTCCGGTGGTGACCTTGATACTTTGAACAAATGCTGCCAGAACAGTAGTTGTTGCAGACTTGGAATAAGCAGAAGTGGTGGAGAATCTCGCATTTCTGGGAAATCATATGAAAGTTTTTAGCTTTGTTTGCTTATTTTGGGTTTATAACTTCCGAAGGTCGTTTGAAGACTGGTGCCTAGGGAGACACTATGAGACAAGATAAAGATATAGATCCCAAGTGTTGCTAAAGAGGCAGCAGACTGAGTTTTTGTTTCAATGTCCCTTAGAGAAAAACATAGGACCCCCCTCAGATAAGTTGCCCCTGGTTTTGTGTTTTGTTTTATATTTTGGAAGTCCGTCTAATCATCTTAATAAAATAATTTAATCTAACTTATCCCTATCCTCTGTGCCGGTGGTAATGCGCCAACTCTTACGACAATACACACAGGGGTCTTTTACGTGCAGGTTGGACCTTCCCACACGGGGCAACGTTTATAGTCCCTTTCAGCCGGATTGGGGGCGTGCATTTGAATTTTTATATATTATTATATTAGTACATGGAGAGGTACATGTATTAAGTCGGGATTTGATAAAGGAGGCATATTTGTTGATGAGGGGGAGGGGTTATAATGTGATACTGGGAGTACGTGAGCCTAGTTTGTTGAATTGCGTGATAGATGACATGTGCGCTTATGTTAGTGCGGTTTTGATGTGGGGAGGGGGGGGGGGGGCGGGGGGGGTTGCAACGCCTAAATAGATGTTTTTTGCTAATTCCATCTTTATGTCTTGTTCCCGTTAACAGCTATGCCTACTTAACATTACTTACTGTTTTTGTTTTTATTTGTTTTTCAGAGTTGTAAATTTATTATTCGGATATTGAAACTACCCCATGTTTTGTGACAAATAATTAAATCTCGTTGCATCAACTTAGATTTAATTATTCCTAAAGTTCCTTACCTATCGTACCAGAAGCACAATGGGCCTTCTCTTCATGCCCGCGTCAACTTAAGTCACGCCGATGGGACAAGAGGACTTATTGTTATGTGTATCTTAAACAGTTCATGGAAGCAGAATTTATATTTGAGAATAAAGCGGGGGGAAAATTATGTATTTCCTTCGATAGGACTTGTAATCGCTGTGGAATAGGAGCCAATTCTATTGAATAGAACTCCCCGTCTGAGGTCGGAACAAAGACGTTGCAGCAGTCTATTGTCTATCGGAGGATCCTTGACCTATATATACGAGTTTTATTTTTATTATGATTTCTTTGAGATTGTGACAAACGCTAGTTCACTGTTGGGTAGGAGACAACTCTATGGAACAGAACTCCCCGCCTGAGGTCGGAACAAAGACGTTGCAGCAGTCTATTGTCTATCGGAGGATCCTTGACCTATATATACGAGTTTTATTTTTATTATGATTTCTTTGAGATTCTGACAAACGCTAGTTCACTGGTGGGTAGGAGACAACTCTATGGAACAGAACTCCCCGCCTGAGGTCGGAACAAAGACGTTGCAGCAATCTATCGACTATCGGAAAATCTTATACATAAATTGTAAATAAATATTTGATTATATTTAATATTGTATTTTTGTATTTATAGAAATATTGAGATCGCCTTGTGTTCTGTGATGGATAACCAGATCTAGTTGTTACAACTCAGATTTAATTATCCCCAGGGTTCCCTTCCTAGCGTACAGTGGGTCCAGAAGCACAACTGGCCTTCCCCTCATACCCGCGTCAACTTTACCTAAGGTGGGTCCACCCGTCTCAGGAAGCTGCGCATGTTGGCTAAATTTCAGAATGGTTTACGGTAACCTAACGACACAACGCCTGGATTAAAAAAAGTGTCATCAATAATTGTTTTCAATAATTAAGAACGTCAAAAAAGTTGAAAACTATCTAGGTCGATCATTTTTTAGAATTTAAATAACCTACCTTATTCAATGTGATATTGAACTAGAACGAAAGTCGTTTACAACGGAAGTTTACCATCGCAGCTTCGCATCATCACTTGAACAGAACAGGTCATCACGTACGATGGAAGAATTATGACCATTACCAATCACACTGATGACGGCGACGCTTCGCTAGGTCTTGACGTTGAAAATTTCATTCAAAGCATTACAGATATTCTGTCATGACTGCTGACAGATATTTTGTGCAGAAAATGTAATAAATGGCAGTGTTAACAGCTTCAAGTGATACGAAAGAGCGTCTGAAAACTGCAACTGAAAATGAACGTAGCGAGTCATCGTCAATGTCACCAAGGATCCATACCGAACCAAACCATTCAGACACGAGCAGACGAGTTTCAGTCACTTTCTTCAATGAGGTAAATATAAAGTGTCATATTCAAAACAGTTCACTCTCAGCAAACCCCTGACTAAACTGTTTTTTTCTCTGTTGTATGTGTATATCACTGGTGCGATCTAATATTTGTTGTTTTATATTGATGTATCTATATATAGTCGTAATATTTTGACCCTGCACCCATCCCTTTGTTTTATAACGAGTCACTTTCCCGCCTGCAGAGTTTCAAGAGTACTGTATCTAAGGATCGCGTCTTGTAACTCGTTTTTTAGAATTATCGTATGAGTTATCTGCCCTTGAACTCGTTGATAAGTGAGTATGGGAGCACTGTATTTTGTTAGCGCGGTTTTGATTGGTCGATTGCATAAAGTCGGGGGTGTTTTCTATAGGGAGTTCGAGTAGATTTCGATCCTACCTGTTGCTAGAAATCTCACAGTTTAGATTTTGTATTACTTTAATTTTGCTATAATTCTATTGTTTTTTCTCGATGCGATATGATCAGTTAAATAAAAAAATCTATAATTTGTCAAAATATTCAATGTTTTTCAGATATTTGATGAGTATTCTATGAATTAATTTTCCTGATTCTTTAATTGCTAATAGTTGATTGATGGAGTCCAATTGGATATTGTTTTTACTTAACTCGTTGTTCAACTCTTTCCTGGCATTTATATGTTTGTGGCACGTGAGAAATGTGTTAAGTGCTTTTTGCATCTATCTTTTATAGTATTTATATGTGGTATCCATGATAACGTTTGATCGAATATTAGGCCCAAATATCTAGTTTTTTAACATATTGTATGGGGGTTTTACCTGGATAGAGATCTGTGTTTTTTTCCTCTTTTTTGAAAAG